CAAACCAGCCAGCCGCCTGCTGCGTGTTTTTTGGTGCCTTGCCAACTGCCAGCAGCAAATAAGCCCCGGAAAACAAAACATCCTCCCACTCCCCATAAGCACTGACCAAAATTATGTATTTCATTTGGAATTAGTTGAGTTTAAATATGTTAAACCTAAGAGGAAAGGTTGTTCTTTCTTACATTAACAAGGTCAAGTGCTAAAAATACGAAACCCTAAAAGTAACAAATTATTAACTAAAACCCTGTCAGCATAAAAATTATTAGTTTTAGGGTTTAAAATCCTTCTTAACTTCATAATTTAAGACCAGACAAACTTTTCACAGTGCACCCATCCCCACTATCTGAAACAGCACACAAAATCCGGGACTTAGGCTAAGCCTGCAATGTGTTTTAGTTGAGTTTATGAATAAAATTACACAGCAGCAACGGAGGTCAAAGGGTGTGGGAGTGGTCCGTGCGGGCAGGGGATCTGGAGCTTACATCAACGCCAACAATGGATAATAAGCGTATCCACTTAATGGTTGCCAAGGTGCCGAAGTGGAGCAGGCGGTGGGATTACTAGCATAGCGGATCTGCGAGTGCCAAACCCGCGGTCAAATGCCAACGAACAATGCCAAATTGTGGGTGGTGCTGGCTGGTGGTTGTGAGTGGGTGTGAGTACGTGTGTGCCAAAAATCCTTTGGCCGTAATCAAGCGGAAAATAGCACAATGACTATCTACAATATATCTGGGACAATGGAAGACACAGGCTGCAGGCAGGAGGAAAACTGGCGATTGTCAGATGAAAAACAAAGGGAATTTACACCCACACACAAACACGCACTCCTGTTAGCCAGTTCAAAAAGGGGTAGCGAATATTACTGGCGGAAAGGGGCGTGGCATTGCGTACAAGCAAAACAGATCAAACTGTTACAAGAAGGCAGCCAGCGAGGAAATTTCAGGCAATCACCGGGTGGAACGAGAAGTCTTCAACCAAAGGGTCAAAAAATATAAAAATATTTAAATTTTGCTGATGTGACGTTTTAAAATGAGGTAGCCTTTGATAGAAGTTCATTATTAGGTAAGATTTTACCTTGTACCTAGAAGGTTATATTCATGTTTCATAAACTTGGCTTATCCAAAAGCTCTTAAAAGAAAGTTAAATATCTTTTCCTGAAAATCTAGTAATAAAATCGTAAGAAATATTCATAAAAACATCATTGACAACCCTCGCCGTGTGAAAAATATCAATAAGTTGCAGACAAATTGTAGCTATCTCACTCGCCCTTTCGAAAGGGACCGCTACTTGTCTCAAACTGCTCGTTCATATTGCGCATACGCCACGTAGGTCTTTGAATGCGATGTGAAAGCACATAGGGAAGTGTGTTTGCTTCTGACTGCAATTGTTGCCTTTGTTTTGGAATGCAGCCACTCAAAGGCTTAGCATGCGGGTGCCTAATTGATATCCGATTAGAAAATAATTGGACTTTTATGCTGGAATAACTTCTCGTTGAGATGGTTTGATAGGGATTTCGGTTCGATGGAACATTCTTACATTTCATACGTTAGCTATGTATTTGCCATTAATATTTTCGATTGCAAGTCATTAAAAAGAGCTAAAGACGAGATAAAATGTTAAGTTCCCTGGCAAAATGGGCAGCATTCTCGCAAAGATATTTCCGGAATTGCATTTCGCTGCCAAGTGCTGCTAATTGCTCGCCCGCTAATGACTCCAAGCGGAATATACTGGCCACTAACTACCGGCCACGCCCACCCAGGACCAAAAGCCGGGCATTTGCCAACTGCCATTTGCGGCAACTAAGCGCAATTAATTAACAACCCAGGCGATTGAATTAAAAGCGGGACAGGGAATAGAAAAAAATTATACAAAATGTTGGTACTTCATAATGGAGAGCGTCCACAGCGCTGGCGGTGGTGGTGTTGGACATGTCCCCGCCCACGATCACGCAGAGTTGGCTAAAGAAAATGCAGCTTAATGCTGAATTAATTCCAATTACCACATTGCCCCCGGTCCTTCTTCCATACTCCGGCCTTCATCCTCCATCCTCGACCATCTCGACCACTGGACGAGGCACACTCATCGGACTGGCCAGTAATTTAGCCGCTAATGCGCGGAGTGCGGCCAACAAAAGCCGCCGCACGCGCTGACCTCCAGCTCAGTCCGTGTCCAGCTTACTGAATGCACTGCCAGGAAAATTGTAGAAAATTCTAAAACGTTTATTCCATTAAAATGAATTTACAAAATATCTAGCGGAACATCTTGGAAAGTTTCCTACAGGATTTAAGCTTAAACTTAAGCTGAAACTGCTTAAGAGTACTTTCTTTCTATCTTCACCTTTCACTTTTCATTATCAATTTTTGAATTTCTGCCATTTCTTAATATTTTATAAACATTTTCTCCCAGTGCAACTCCTCCCAGCTTCTCTCGGCATTGCCATGGCCTTTTGTGAGAGGTTTTAACATGAATTTATTTTATATAAAAATTTTCCTTTTTCCGCCAGCCACCAGCCACTTGTTTGGCTTTCACAAGATTCACTAATTAATTATTAATTAAGTTGGAAAAATTGCCAAACACCCGCCGCCGTCCCATTCTCTCTGAGCGAAATGAAAGATGCCTTTGCATTCAGTTTGAAACTTTTGAAAGTATTCCAATTTTCTAGCATTTTCCTCGTCCGCTTTGCGCAGAACTTTGCGGGCGGAAAACTTTCGAGCGAGCTGGAAAAACTTTCGGCGCAATGTGTCGCCTCCCCAATTTTCCCCAGAGCCAAAAGTTTTTACTGTCGCATTTCTCCGACTCCCGAGAAGTCGGCACTAAAATGCAGGCCTTGAGTGCGAAAGAAAACCCCATCGTTAGCAGGTCCTTGGAAGGGATTTCGAGAAAGGAGAACTCCGTGCTTAAACAAAAAGCACGTGTCCTGTGAAGCGCCTTTCATCATGGAACTGTGGAACTCAACTGACCTTCCGACTCGGACACTGGCCATGTGCAAATTGTAAACCATGAAAACACACGAGTTTATACAACAAAAAAAAAAAAAAAAAGAAAAGCGCAAACATTTATATTTAATTGGTGGTTTGTGCCCCAGAAGTGGCCGCCCCCTTGTGGCCTTGTGTCTACCCAATTGAGTTTCAAAGTTGCAATTAGAGCGGCCTGAATGGGTCCTGGGGATGTGGAAAAGGGGGTGGGTGGTCAGGTGAATTGCCGGCTGCATTCAATGGAAACAGTTGAGATCGAGGGTGTCCAGAAATGGGAAAGGAGGAAACCCAGCGGAGAAACAATGCACATTGAAAAGAAACAAGTCGCAGACCATTAAACCCAAATAGCATTTTGTAATATAGAATGTTGAGAGTTTTTATGGTCAGTGGAGCTCATTTGAATGGACACAGAAGTATGCTGTAAATAAAAACATGTTTTAACAGGGTGGAAAATATTACTAATAGGTTTCCACGAAGTTAAACCTTTTGGTGTATATTAAAGCTAAATGAGAGTCATATTGGCATCGCTTATAAGCGCACAACCAGGCTTATTACCAATCAAGAATCTCTGTAATATCAAAGGTATTCTACACCAAAACCATTTATTTCGATTCATTCTTTTTTGATTCATGGAAACTCTTTGAAACTAAGTACTTAATGCTGCCTGAGAAACTAACGCAATCTTGGCACGAGCAAAGCTAAATGGAAATGAAAAACCGAATTGAATTTAGCTTGCCTTTGACTATGTCGACACTTATGCTGTGCCACGCCCCCTTTTGTGGATCAGGCAAATGTGCCAAGTGTATATGGATGCACTGAGAGAAAACTGTGAGTCTTAGTTGGGAGATACTTATGATTACTATATCATATTACCTTTGATGGTTCGCCTTTTTATGAGCTTCTTTCAGGTTGCCCACTGGAATATTGCTTAAATGGGCTAATAAATTTTATACAAAATTATTCGAATTTCTTTCTGTTTTCCAGCTGATGGCTTTTCCATCGCTCAATGACGATTGCCGACTCGATGATGACTTCTTTACACGACATTTAATTGAGAAATAATTGAATAGGTCGTGTCAAGTGTTTGTTTGGCGTTTGGCTGGCTGAGGTCTGGGATGCGGAATATGTGATGTGATGGTATATGGAATAAGGGCGGTATGGGCGGTATGGGCAATACGGGATCTGGGTTCCCAGTGAGTCTGGCTTTCGGGCGAAATTAGCTTTGTCAAATGCGGCTGACATGGGCACGGGTTGAGTGGTGCGGAAAGGTCTATTGCAGCGTGAAAACGCCACTGCGAGTTTTTTAATGAAGTAGTCACAGTCGGCGGAGAAAGTCGAAGGCCCTTCGATTTCCGATTTCCCACCACTGGAAACAAAGCCCAGTGGTGCAGTCAAAGGAAAGGTGGAAACACATCCATAAAGGGGAATTCACATGTGATTGGAATCTTCAGCAATCGTCCTTCAAATGGGGTTGAGAGTGGGTGGGTCCTGGGAATTTGTCGCCCGGTGCAGTCAGCCGCGCACTTATAATTGCAGTTGCAGTTTAGCTGAGTTTATTGTGGATTGAGAACTGCGAGAATAAACTCTGAAATTAATGTATTTATGGAAAGGAAACCGATTTATTAATCATAAACACTAAACTATGTTACTTGAATGGAAAAACACCTGTAAAGTTACGCACTTATTATGATTATAAAAAGTTTCATGCTAATTTTTGCAACGTGACTTCTGATCTTCATACGTCAACCGCCATTCATGAACTTGAACTCGCATCCCAGTACAGATGTTCTGGCATTATGGACCATTTAAAGTTGCTCACACCTTTTGTTTTTTATGAAGACTCTGATTACGTCAACATCAGATGCTCCCGTAATGACAACAATTACACCGGCCGGCAGACCCATTTTCCATGAATTCTAGGTTAATGCCAATGTCACATCTAGAACTGGTTTTCCCGGTCGTGTGTTTCTATAAAAGAGCTGGCCCATCAGAGCTTGCTCCATTTGCAAGCATTAGCCCGTCGAATACGCAATGAATCATGTCAGATTTGGGATTATCTGCTGGAGCTGTCTGCTCATTATAATAGCCCCGAAAACGGAAGCACTTTCGGTATGGAAATTACCCACAGCGGAAAAAGTGTATCAGGAACTGGAAAGCTGCCGGCAAGAAAACCAAGACAAGGATGCAGGCACCTTGAGGTGTTTGGTCAAAGAACTGGGACTTTGGACAGATGAGAGCGGCTACAATGCCAAGCGGATAGCAAAGATCTTTGCCGGGCATAACCAAATGGAGGAGCTGATGCTGGTGGTGGACTACTGCAACCGAAAGGAGCAGAATCTGAGCCAATTGGATGACTGGGCGTACCTGGCCTACAGGTGCGCCACTTCGGGCCAGTTTGGCCATTGGGTCAAGGATTTCATGAGCCAAAAGGAAAGAGATTAATAAATAATTAAGGAATTTAGTTTTTTAATTCGTTTTTATTTACGACTTGAACTGCAAGCAAGCGATCAGATGGGTCTGGGATGGCAGGAATAACTGTCCCTCTAGACCTGGACACTGTGCTGGACCAGCTGCAGATTGGCGTTCATGAAGCACATGCCGGCGTGGTAGGCCTTCGAGCAGGAGTCGCCCTCCTTGGAGTGACTATCGGCACAGTTGGCGATCTTCTGGTGCATCTCATCCGAGTGGCTTACCTTGCCACCAGCTCCGGCCAGCTGGACATGGATCTTGTGGACATCGAAACCGTGCTCCGGATCGTAGAAGCCGAACTTCTGGAAGACACACTCCAGGTAGCAGTGGGTCACCGCGTCATCGGGATACTGCCACTTCTTGTACTTCTCCACCAGCTCCTCGCTGGCGTGAACCTTCTCGGCACAGTACGAGCGATAGGTCACAAGGTCGTCGTGGGTCTTAACCACATAGGATTCGTGACCGTGATGGTGACCGTGATCATGGTCGGCCAGGACAAAAGTCAGACCCAAAAGGAGGACAATGAGAACCTTCATGGTGATTTCTTTTTCTGTGTCACAACTGCAACTGCGATTTCTGCCAAGCTCAGCTACTGTATTTATAGGCAGAGTATATAGCTCTTAGACAATCAAGATGGAATTAACCTTCTATCGGGTCGATTCCCGGGTGATTGACTGGCCCAACGATTACCCTTATCAAAGGGCAAAGGCGGCCAGGCAACGATAGAGGCAGGTGTCAGATCCCAAGTCCCAGATGCCAGATTCCAAATGCATTGTCGTCAACAAGTCTGAATCACGGCTTATCATCAAAAATGTGACGTGACTTTGAGCAAATTCCGATTGATCAAAAATTTCTAATTGGTTTATTCATACAGTGGCGCCACCTATATTTGGTTTTACTTCGTTGCAGAGCAGCCAGCTTTCCACAGTTGGAGTTCGTAACATTCAGCTATGGTCCATTCACACAACTTCATTTTCTGCCAACGAAGGGATTTTAAATATTAAATATCTTGTACCACAAGAGCCCTATTAACATTTTAATTTAGCTCAAGGATAGCTTTAATTATCGTTATCCATTATCCATCCATTATATTGCTCTTATCTGCAACTCGTAGGAGTTCTGCCAACCGAGTTATCAAAACTTGCTTAAATTCTTAGAAAAAACGAAGCCATTTCATTACGCTTAATATACAATAAAAAAAAACATCTTACAAGCACACGTCTGGGTCACTAGAGTTTGTAGACTCATTATGCCAATCAAAACGGAAAAACAGAAAATGGGAAAGCGAAAGTTGGGCCGAAAGTCAAGAGGAGAACGCGGGAGGAGGTTCCGCCCACCACGCTGGTCTATCAAACTGCCTCAGCAGATCTTCAAGTTTTTGGGACTGACCCCGCAGCACTTAGAAAACCCCACAACTTGCAGCACGAGTGTGGGTGGAGACCGGATCGGATCACTCTTATCACCTCTGACAGTGAACGTGACGGCGGAAAATAAAAACCGACTATCATGCAGAAGATGGAGATGTACACTTCGGAAAAAACATAGTTTATGATATGTATTATAAGATTCATTTCTATATGTATGTCTTTTTAAAAAAATATATCCATTATTTGTGAAGTTCTATATTTTATCATTCATTAATGTTGACTTTTTCTTTCAGTGTCTAAGCAATATAAACAAACTGCTTAACAACAAAGAGCTGAGGACTGACAGTTAGTTAAAAGTGACTAAAACCACTTCTACCGAGCCATATGAATAACCGTTCTGAACTTTGCAATGAAAGTGAAACCCGGTGGTAAGCCCATTTGTTATGGCCGAGAATAAAGACTTGTTTTGACCGAAGCTGACAATTGCAATTCCAGGGTGTCGAGAGCTGAACAAATTCCTAGCCCAGTTCAGTTTTTCACTACGCCTGTATTCTACACTTTCGCCCAGTTTATTGCATTCATCAAATGCCGCCCAGCAATTAAATCAAAGTCAATGGAAATGCCTCCTCCAATGGGAAAGCATTTGAGTTTGTTTAGATTGAAGTTCGGTTTAAACTTATTCGAATTTGGAATACCCTTGGAAAGTAAGTATCATAATAAATTAGTTAGCAACGGAATGATCGTTATTCGGTTTAAAAAGATATTGGTCTAGGAAATGTCTTCTTTTATAGAGACACCATGACGTATGCGCAATAAAAAATAAACAGTTTGTGCTTATTAGCTTAAATGTATCATTAACTTGCTTAGTTTAAAACCTACGGCTAAGCTAAATAAGTAAAGTTAAAGGAGTCGTTAGAGTTATTTATTTTTATTATTTTTGCAATCTATAAAAAGTCATTATACCCAAAGCAAGGCTAACTCAAACTAGGCCAACTCCAAGAAGTTCCTGTCCGTACACCCATAAAACGCCCCAAAGCCACCACAGATGTTTTCTTGTCAGCCTTTTAGCCAGCATTTCATTGCCAACACTATAACCAATATAACCACTGGCACCACAACCACCGAAGGTATAAAAGGTTGCCCGTGGAGCGCGCCCAGCGTTCGCTTAAAGTCCCCAGAAAAGCTGCTGGAAACCAAGAAACGCGCGTGCGCAGCCGCAAAAAGAGTCAGTCGATCGTCGGCAGTCTCCGGGTAAAGTCAGCTCAACCGAACTCAACTCAACTGAACTGAACTGATCGTGATCCGTGTTCTCCAGAGTGAACTGCATTTCATACACATTATCATTTGCAGCAACTTGTTTTCAAAGTCATTACGTGTCGGCGGCCAGTCGCTAAATAAATTGTGCATTTTTAAAGACAATCGAGAGACAAATTTGCAAGTGCAAGTCAGACAATTTATGCCATATTTCTGTGGGTTTTCTGGAGCTTCCTGACTTGAAGTGCATCACCTGCATACCAAATCCAAGGAAAAGATTTAAAAAAAAAGGGAAACCAAAAGCACATGGTCACTATGCAAATGGAAAAGGTAAGCGGCGTCTGTGATGACTTAATTGATTGATTTATAATTGAATTAAACATAAACCGAGTGATACATGCCCACACTTCTCGAGGCACTTTCACTTTCCCAATCAGATCCATTTCAAGACTCAGGTTTAAGGTTACGCCACTGGCATCTATTGCCTTTGAACTGGTCTTAGCCATGAATCTAGCTCGGTTGGCGGCTGAGTCAGCCTCCAGCTAGCCAAACTGGCAATGCAAATAGGCTAAAGAGTGGGTTGGGGCCGAAACCATGCTGGCTGAAACTGCGATTCTAAGAATGAAATAAAAATTTAATAACATTTATAACCGAAGCTTTAAATACCTCGTAATTATTGTCTATTAAACAGAGGAAGCTGCTTCATAAAGTTTTTAGATCGGAGGAGAAAGATCTTGTTTAGAAGTTACTCTGGGATCATTTGCAATAAAGTTAGGAGATAAGTCTTAGTAACTTAACTACTCGTTAATAAAATATGTAAAGAGTTTTAAAGAATAAAAATGTTAGAACTATCTTATTAGCGTAGAGAAAATTATTCCCAACTATCTAAATAAATTCTAAATATAGAACAGAATCTTACAAATGTTGTTAACTAATCAGAGCTAATTGTATTGACTGGAAGTTGATTAACAAGCTTTGCTTTGTTATCTTGATATGTTCATACTGTCTTTTTACTTACAATGTACACTAATCCCTTTAAACTACTGCAATTAAGGTATAAATAACAACAATTAAGCAATTAGAAAGATCAATGGGTTAAGTAAGGGAATATAAGTCTTTTGACTAACAGAGAACAGTGTAATTGGAAAACGAACTACACCCATTTTAACTTCAGTTAAGTCTAATCTATAAAATATTCACCTACTACTAGTCAAGCTACAACGGTTTTGAGAACTACTCCAGGTCAAATCAGTTCATCGTCCAATCCCCTAGCCAAAAACAAATTCCATTGACACCTTCAAGTGACCACCCACCCCGATTTCTCGGAATGCCACTGAGCCTATGGAAACACCCATGGCCAAGAGTGCGAGTGCGAGTGCTAGTGCCAGTGATCCATTGAACCATTTTGGACTATCACTTTTAACACGGGCCCACAATGGCACTCGAGGTGGCCCAATTCCGCGGAGTGGAGTGCACTTGATCAACGATTATTGTCTGCCGATCCGAACTCAATTCACTCCGATTCGATCCGTTTAATTTCACTGCTGCCAGATGCCGACGAAATCGAAAACGAAATCGAGACTAGAAAAGAAAAAAGGAAAAGCGTCGAAAATTGCTCCCTCGAAAGCAAGATCATGGCGATCGGGAGTGGGTGAGGTGGGCTGGTGGCCTGTTGGCCTGGTGGCTGAGGAAAGTCAAAGTGAAATGCTTGGAAAGCAAGGCAAATTGCCAGTCAGCCAGCGAGTTGGTCTGTAAACAACAATAACCGATTTAAGGAGGGCGGCCCAGCGTGGATTGAATGTCTGGGTAATCCGAGAGCAGCAATTAGAGTACGGCCCCCGGGGATCGGGGCATCGAGATCAGAAACGCGGTCACAGTTCCGCAGATCGCTCCAGTGCATTTCCATGCTCCAGTACCAGTGATAGAGCCACTTCAAGTCAATGGACAACTCGTCTAACCGGACCTAGACTCCATCTCTCCGAGGGAAAAGGCCTTTGCCATAGCTCTACTTGAACCCATGCACTGGGCGATGATTAATTCTCCGAATATTTAATAAAAATATTTAAACAAATTATAGAAATTAAATAGAGATTTAAATTAGGAAATCTATTGTAAAGTAATATACTCTTTAACTTTTTATACTAACGAAACCAAGTAGAAGAAATACAAAAACCAAGATCTTAGCTTCTAGTTCCTAATGGATTTTTTCCCTTAGTGTGAGCTTGGGCCCCCGTCCGGTTCGATCGGCTTCTTCGTAATCCAATTAAAGGAACAATCTACATTTCAATTCAAAACTAATGAAGTGTAGAGAATTCGCAACAAAGGCTGACATGTGTTGATTGTTTCGGCGACTGCAGTGCTGGTATTTGAAAGTCTTGGGTTTCTTCTGGCGGGGAGCCATTACTAACAAGCTTCCCTGTAGAGCAGCTCCAGCTTCAGCGAGAACAGCCCAACTTCCGTCAAACACAAACACAATTGTGCGTAGTCCAAACAATTCATTGATTGATTGTCGATATGGCGATCAATTAGACAGATTATGGTTTTCCATTGATCGCGATCGCAGTAGTGACAAAAAAGCCAGGGACAGCTGTCAATGGAAAATAGATACCTGAGATAGATGTATAACCCACGATTTTGATTCCTATTTCGTCTCCCGGCAGCACACAATTCTGATTCTACTATTACTCGGACTGATTTTCTGGACGGGTTCTTCGCAAGCTGCCCGTCGCCTGAGGAAGAAGCCTAAGATCTATAATGCCCTCATAACCACTGACGATAATCTGACCTCCAGCCGGGCCTATCCGGTTATCCAGCCTACTATCCATGAGCCGGGATACGCCCCCTTTGGACCCTTCAATCCCTATGGCTTCTACAGTCCTCCAACCGTGCGGTTCGGTCAACCAATAGTTCCTGGATTGGCGCCCAATGAGAGGGTAAGTTTGTAAGGGTTTACTTTTCTTACGTAACTACTATTACTATATTCTAATATATCACGTTCTTCAGCTTCCTTATCCCTTGCCATCTGCTGCCCAATATCCCAGTGGCTTTGCTCCTTATGAGCCCCAACAGCCCGTGGAAACACCCGTAGAGCAACAGCCCCAGCCGGGGACGCCACCGGGTGCTGTGGAGCCCCAGGAGATGACCAAGGAGCAGATGCCACTGCCACTGAATCAACAAGGTCTTCCACCCGTGTTGATTCCCCTACCCTCCCAGTTTAGAGGTCAGCCCATGCACCTGCCCCCGTATCCGTACAGCCAGTATCCAGTGATCTACGACCAAGCGGGATACATTAGGCAGAACTACCTGCCGCCCTACGATTACTACCCAACCCAGGGTTATCCGATTCGAGGCGCCACAGCTGCAGCACCTACAACGCCCCGCGAAGAGGAGGTTCAACAGGCAAATCCTGCCCAGAATGCACTTCCCATACAGCCATTACCGCTGGAGAACCTTGAACCAGCGCAGCCCAGTTTCGAGGACATCCGCAACGGATCGGAGAGCAAAAACAGTGCAGTTCCAGATGTTCCACCTCCACCAATACCCTCCGGACCCAAACGACCACGACCAGCGGAACCGGAAACGGAACAGCAACCGGATAACTGATTGCCAGCCGGATTACACCGGCTGCCCAGATTCCACACACGTATTTATTACCATTTCGCTTAGGATTAATTTCGATTCGATTGTACAATGTCGCTTAACCCGTAAGCTAAAGTAAGAGTTCATTCAGAGATAACGAATAAATAATACAAAATCGCCAATGCGGTGAATGAACTTGTCGATTGGTGACCAGTTCCCTTGGGAGTCACTGAATGCTTTCCCTTTCAGTTAGGGAATTGGGAATTAATTATCTCGGCTTTCCAGGGACTATAAAGGCAGGCATATTCGTGTGAAAAGTTACAGTTTAAATTGAAAAATCGAAATGAAGCTAACCCTGATCCTGCTGATCCTTTGCTGCTCCCTCTTTGGGTTGGGTAAGCTCTGGCTTCAATAAGAGGTTCTATATTTCCAATGAATAATGCTAACCCATCTGCAGCCCTTGGCAACCCAATTGTGGTGACCAAACCACCATTCATTCGCAGTCGCTACAGTTTGCGGTGGCGAAAGACAACCACCGTGGCTCCGGAGGCGGCCGGTGTGTCCACCATCAATACAGCCACCACTACTGAACATCCCAAGCTGCCCACATCAACTGCTAATGTGGACTACGATTATTACGGCAATGGTGAGGCCGAAACTGTGGTGCACAAGTAATAATATATATGTAACTATGGATGAACGCATACATATAATTATCAGGAGAAACATAAAAAACGGATTTCAAAAGTAATGAATAATAAAGTTTAAGCTTTTAAAATGTTTCCTTGTATTAAACAAAAATCAAAATAAAATTGTATTTAAATCAAAATGTAACTGCATTTGTATTTTCAAACAAGTTGGCATGCTCAAAAATAAATTTCCATAGGTCTATGTTAAGTTAACATACAACAGAAATCAGCTGTTTATTGCCGACCCCAACCATAACAAAACCAGCCAATAACGACGTGTTTAAAATCAAAAATGATATTAACAATTAGATTGCTAGTCATTAAAGTTCTCACCGCGCAGCTACAAGAGCAACGCGTGGCAGGTGGATGACAAAAGGCATGTAAAAGGGCGGTAAGTAGTCTACTCTACTCCTCTAAAATAAAAGTAAATTGTAATAAATTGAAGGAGATGACTACAATTGCTTTCTACAAATAGTGCTTACTGATAGTGACTCATATTTGTGGTAATTGTAATCCTAACCAAACTGCATCGGATATTGAGGTGCATTTCGTCAGCAGAAACTCAATTTTATTGTCTTCTTTGATAAGATTACAAGGCTGACATCATCAGCAAAAAGGAACTAACTATACCTGCAAGCTGAAGATTCCTAAAGATGGGCAGCAAGGCAAAACTAGATCCCAACGATACCTATTTGTTCCAGACATTGAAACAAATCAAAACCAATTGCGAATCTAGCAATGAGTTCCATGGGAGACAAGTGAACTATTGGGATCTTGTAAGCTTTCAAATCAATTGTGGGGAACCACTCGATTTAACAAAAGAATGGCAGTACGATCCCTTGAAGGAGGACTTTTTGATCAATTTGGCGGAGAAATACAAATCATTGAAACATTTTTCCCAAAGGGACCAAGAAGCTTATTGGAAACTATATATCAATGCGATCAAGGAAAACAAATCAATGACCTCTATAAGCATATATTTCAAACCAAACGATTACTATCCCGATCATTTGGATAGGTTCGAGGCCTTGCTAAACGCCATTGAAGACAAGAAGAGCCTTCAAAAACTCTTCATTGAATTGCACGGTAAGCTTTTCTTAAAAGTAAATAAATTTTATTAATCTGAGAACTTTGATTTTACAGAATATACCTTCGAAAATGTTCCAAAGCTCGGTCAGTTAACAAATCTCTTTCTCAATGCTCGAATGAATGTCGAAGATCTGGTGCAGTTGTGCCGATCAAATCCAAACCTTAGGGATATTTCATTTATAAATAAGGATTTATATGGAAGGTTTACGGATGTTGTGCCATACTGTGGAGAGCTGCAATCCCTGAGGTTAGTGATGAAGGACGACATTGACGCCACTGAGTATGCTGGGTTAGCAAAGTTGCCTAAACTTCAAAGACTGATCCTTAGAGGAAAACATCAAAAGGGAACTTTGACAAAATTGTTCCATGGTCTAGAAAGTAAGGACCTCAAGACATTAATCATTCCAAACACTTTGCTCAGTAAGGATGAAACCCAGGCAATGACCAGAATCCACTCTCTATCTTCCATTATGAGCGGGTTTGATGACGTTGCTGACTTAGCACATCTCAGGACTCCCGGATATGTTGGTATTTACGCCAAACCAGGTCAATTAATAGTAATGGATCAGTTGATGGATCTGGTGAAGAGTTCTGTTTTAGTTATTGCGAAAAAAGATTGCCCCATCTTGGAGATCAAATATGCTGAGGAACTTGGAAAACTAGAAGTGATATTTGGCCTTATAGATCAATGTAAAGATTATGATGAAAGAGAAGACGATGACGAAAATGAGGATAGTGAAAATGAAGATAGTGATGAAAGGGAAAATAGTGATGGCGATGAAGATCATGAAAATGTAGATGAAGAAGACATTCAGAATATTGCTAACCACATAGCTCGCGTTGTACATCTTGCTGATGTTTTGCAATTCTCCATATCTGGGAAATTTAAAAGCAGCATGTTGCAAACAATCTATCAGGAATTGGCAAGCAAAAAGCCAAATGAACTCAGAAAGTTAAACATCAGAGATTGTTCTCCATTTACCTTAGAACACGCTACTACACTTTCTTCTATTCAGTCTTTAACGACCATTTTCTGTGACCATTGCTATTTAAAGAACATTTTTGAAATGAAAGTCCAACAACTCAATGGAATTACCGAAATGAGAAACCGAGAAGATCGAATCAAAACCGAAATGTGCGAAATTCTTTTAATCCATACAGACAAATCTTCAAAACTAATTCTGCAATTCTGCAAAAACTTTACTCCTGGTGATAATTGTGCCCAAGCTTTCGCCCCTCTGGCCTATTTAAAGAATTTAAAAATACTTGAGATTAAGAGCCACATCGGAGTTCGAACTTTCATGCTCTTTATTAAGTTAATCAAGGATCTGCAGGAATTGGAAGTTCAGTCCGTTGGTCCCGAAGACCTCATCGAACTGTCGCAAATTCAGAGCCTAAAAGTCCTTAAATGCGGATTTTCCAGTTCTAAAAGTGTTGATCATTTGGCCAAGTTGAATCAACTCGAAAGTCTAACCATCACTGACCATCCCAAAGGCTTCTTAGCGTCGCTTTTAACCGCTCTTGCTGCTAGAGAAGATCAAGTACTCCGAAGTCTCAGTGTTCATAGAGATCTTACTTCCCAGGACTTTGTTGAGCTTACTGGCTTAAAATGCTTGGAGAGATTGCAGTTAGGATTAAGTAACGACAAGAATTGGAAAAGTTATAATCCTGTTAGTCCTTCCTCTGGTGTAGTTACGCCAACCAATTTGGAACTCATCGCCAAACTGTCAAACCTAAAAGAACTTAGTATTCATTTTGATTACGAAAAACAAGCTGTCGAAAAACTATTAAAGTCCTTGCAATCTCCTCAAAGACTGCTTAAGCTCTCCCTTCCAAGTCATGACTTAAAGCTGATATCCAAATTTCAAGAATTACGATCTCTCGAATGCTTTTTACACCAAGTTGAAGATGTGAAATACATAGCAACTCTCAGAAATCTGACAGAATTACGGATACATAACTCGCAGAAAAATTTAATGACAGACTTTTTCAAGAAACTGAAGGTATTATCGAATCTGCAAAGTTTACTTTTGGATGACACAGAACTGAAATTTGAAGAAGTGGTCGAGGTAACAAAAATGAATTGGTTAACTCGACTACGATTGGGACTCGCTGAGAAACCTTTGCTACTATTGTTGCTACAATTTGAAAATCTGGAAACTTTGGAAATTACTTCGACTCATTACGCAGAACAGCATGAGAGAAACTTTTGTGTTTTATTTTTAAAAGCATGTCAAAATCTTATATCTATTTCTCTTTCTCGATACTTTAACTTGTTAACAAAACAACACGTCAATTCAATCTTAAGAACTATTAGGCAGCAGAGAAATCCTGATAATGATCCCCCTTTCAGATTGTTTGGCATTTGGTGGGACTTCAAGAAGCTGGATCAGGTGAGTAATTATTTATCTTTATAGCTCTAGTTTACTTATAATCTCATTTTATTTTAGTTGGATGAATACGATGAAGCTTACCTTCAATTAGAAGGACCAAAGCAAAATGAGTATCAGCTCGTTCAAGAATCCCATAACAATGAAGACGCAGATGGCTTCACAGATGGCTCAGATACTGATTATTTTGGGTAAATCAATACAATGTAAATACAAAGATCTGCCAGAAGTAGAACAACTAAATAATATATATTTACAAAGCAAAGCTGTTGATAAACTATAAGGCGTTTTTACCTCACAAGTCTCAAAGACATAAAATAACCAGATGAACCAAGTGAGCTTACTAATCGCACTCTTTTCTTATTTTTAATATAACCTAATTATAATAATTATATTATTATTCGTATTAATATTTATATAAAATATATATTTTTTCTATTGTTTCCTTTTAATAAACAAGCATTTAAGATTTTTGAATGAAATAGAAGTTTTTGACTGTTATATTGATTTTTCAAAACAAGTTGGCATGCCGAAATATAATTTGTCGAAGGTCGATGTTAGCTATATGTTAAGTTAACATACAATACAAATCAGCTGTCATTCGCCGACAGAACAAACAAAAGCAAAACACAAACGAGTTTTAAAACAAAAATGTTATTAACAATTAAATGCGCTCAGAATGTGTTTAAGCCGAACTTTCAGAAAGTGGCCAATCTGCTTGCCAGTCGGTATAATTCAGGTTTATCCCACGGCACTGTAACAACAGCAACGAGACGAAGGTGAATGACCAAGGGGGTGGTAAAGGGAAGTAAAAATACTAAACTCAAAAACTGAGCTTTGCTTTTTCGCGCAGCAGCTCGCAAATCTCAGTTCTGTATTCGCCAGCAGCGAGAGAAGCAGCAACGGCAACAGTAGCAACTGGTGGCAGCGCAAATCTCCGGAGATTATACGGCACTCAAAACTCTGAAACCCCAGCAACGAAAACCACATCGAAAAAACGAAAAATGGTGGTAAGTACGAGCAAAAAGTGAATTACAGATCAAGGGCAATCGAATCTGACCGAAATCGAAAGGTTTTCTTATCGCCGCGAATTAAAAACGAGCCCCCAAGGCCGAGTTAAAACTTTAAGCAAATGTTTTATGCCCTAACACAACGACTACTTTGAACTCGGTAAGGATTTCACATCTCTATGAGGAGAACATCATGAATATTATAAAGTTTCAGGGGCCAGTGACCTATAGTACTATATACTTTTCACGAAGTTTCTATTATTAGAACCAGATTTACTGGATTTATAATCAAATTCTTACATACTTGTTGCTTGCTTCCAGGTGCGACTAAACGAACAGGAGCGTGCTGAGAAGCTGCAACCTCTTCTAGAAGCCGGCTGGACTTTGGTAGAAGGTCGCGATGCCATCTTCAAGCAGTTCGTACTGAAGGACTTCAACCAGGCCTTCAGCTTCATGACAGGCGTGGCCCTTCTGGCCGAGAAGATAAACCATCATCCCGAGTGGTTCAACTGCTACAACAAGGTCGACGTAACCCTGTCCACACATGATGTAGGCGGTCTCAGTTCGCAGGATATTCGCATGGCCACTCATTTGGAGACCACGGCCAATTTGTTGAAATAAACGCATTGTTATACTAGTTACTAGTTGTGTCTATAATCTCTGGAGTCCAATAAATACTTAGCTCAGCATCGATTTGCTGAAAATTTGATAATCGGCTTGTTCTAAGACATCCGGGGAGATTTCATCTTTCACGTAACCCAGTTGCTTGAAGAAGGAAATGGATGGTTCATTGTTGTTCAGGACAGTCAGCATAATTTTTTCTAGATGCCAGAGACGGGCGCAGTCCTCTAAAATGTTCATAATGAACTTCCCCAGGCCTTTTCTTCGGTGCTCCGCTGCCACTTGCATTTCGTAGCTGTAAAGGGGCATAATGATTGACTGTTTCAGGGATATTTTTATAGAACACCTACCAATATAAAACACAGTCCCCGTGATCCATATCAAAACGAAACATGGCATAGGCTACGTTTTCCTTCTTCTCGTTCTGGGCCACCAAATAACGAGCCCAGTTTTTGTTCAGCTCGGCGGATTTGATTTTTGGCTGCCAGCCCATCTTCAGCTGTTTGTAATAGGGCCCCACGTTGGTTTCGGCCAGCTTAAAAGCCCATTTCAGCAATTTGGAATCAGCTTCCGTCTTCGTTCGACATATCAGTTTGTATTCTTCTCCGCTGGGAGCCTTGTAGCTTTGGTAGTTTAGAGATTCTAGTGGATTCTTGGCCCTCGCAGCAGTCTCCACAAATCTCTGCTTGGCCCCTTGACTTAATACGTCCTGATTTGCCATAATGTAGTTAAAAACCCCAAGGAAAATATAAATCAGACAAAAATTATGCCGCGCAAAATAGAGATGACAGAAAAGAGTAAATAGCTAAGAAAGCTGGACGACTATCGAAAATACATAGTTAACGATATTTGGTTATTTGCAAATAACTAGTGACGGTCACTTTGTTATTTATCATCTGATTTATTTGTAAACAATTGTAGACAATTTAATAGTTTATACAGAATTTATAGAAATTATCGAGATTATTAATACAATAAAAATTATTATTTCACTTTTAAAACCAAAAGCCATACAGATCAGGTAACCATCATTCGAATTGTTATTTCAGCAAGTGCTGACGTTACCAATTCTCAAAATTTCAGTTTTTAAGCACAAGACAATGTTTAAAAGAGCCAAGCCAAAAGTAGAGCCTCCTCCAATAGCTCCAACTGTAGAGGAGATGCTGGCGGACATGGAGACCTTTGAGGTCAACCAGTCACCAATAGGCGGTCCTGTGGATAACTCAGATTTGGAGCACGCTCTTCTGACGGAACCAGAGAACCTTTCGCTTCCAACTTGGTGGCAAGTTTTCGACGAATACGATCAGAAGGTTAAGAAACTGTCGGATACAGAGGGAAATCTTGATGTTCATAAAAACCAACTCAAAGAATGCTACGCCAAGCTGGAAAAGAATGCAGAGAAATTAAAAGACGGCATCAAAAAGCAGCAGGCGCTTGCCAAAGAAGCTCTTAAATGTTAATTAGGAATATTAAAAACGCTTTGAACTGAACATTTTTGTAATTCATATTGCTATTTTAGCTTAGAATTTAAAATATAATTCGTAGCTGGCCCACTGTGCCAGGGTTTGAGTGCATGCTAAAACATCAGCTTGAAGTATATTTAAAGTATCTTTCAACTAGTATATTGTTCTGAGCCTAACATTTTAACGGTCAATTCGCAGTGCGGTCACACTGCTTGGTGGATGGTGGTCGAAAAAAAGTTGTTAAAAGCGCAGAAAAACGAATTGGAATGCAAGTGCTTCAGTGACTGTGAAAAGTAAGATGTCAAGATAACACGAATAAATAAATCAAAGTTGGGATCAACAAACAAGATGGGCCAAAAATGGCACTGCAAATCGTGAAATTCGCTTCATTTAGGCCTGGATGATTGGGCAGAAGAACAGGTTTTAGGCCGTGGCAACAACGAAAAAAAAAGAAAAAAAAAACTTGCGACTGGCTTATACCATTTACGCCATTAACAGAGGTCGATTGTTTTCCGAGTGTGTGTGTGTGTTTGTTTGTATGTTTCAATATATTTGGCTATATTCCACAAATCCAATTATCACAAACAGAAAAAAAGAGTGCAACAATTTGTGGCTAATTGAATTTTACGTGTATTTTATTTTGGTTTTCGACCAGCGCAACAACAACAGCGAGCAGCGAGTGGAAAGAGAGGATAGATGAGAGGGTTTTCTTTTTTGGCCAAAAGCAAAGCTCAGGTAGAATACACACATACATGCCTATACACACACGTATGTTGTTGGGCAAAAACAATAATTATCCAATTAAACGGTTGTCAAAGAATGCATTTAATTTCATTGGCCAATAAGTTTGTGTGAAAGAGAGGCCCAGAGAGCGCCTAACTAACAGTATTTTTCACGGGCACACCAATACCACTTCAATTGCTAGGTGTGCGTGTTTCGTCTGTTAGTGTTTGTGTGTGTGAAGTGCTAATGAGATGCTGTGACGCTCTTCTTCTTCTTCTTCTTCTCGCCGTTTGTTGCTTTTGCCATTTATGCAAAAATACGCAAAAAAAAAAAGAAAAACAAATACACATGCATAAATAAAAATTTTTGAGTTGAACAAAAGATTTCGCGTAAAAGGTGAAAGCCACTTGGAGATACGAATCCGCCGTATACGCAATGCAGTTGCTTTGTGCCCGGACCGTTAATGCAATCATCTCGCGATCATAACCGTTCCCATTCCCGTTCTCGATTCTCAACTCTCCACACTGCGTTCTCCATTCTTCCAGCGACAATGTCACCGATCGGAGCCACTTCCTCGCAGCGAATCCCACAACAATAACACACATAACAAGCGCCAATGATGTGATGCAGCAGCAGAGGTTGAGTTCGGAAAAACGCAACCTTCAAGTAGTCTAGGCCACCCACAATCACCCGGAGGAGGTATACCCAGTTAAAGTCAACGATGAGCTGGCTGCTGGGCCTCCTCGGGCTTCAGATCCTGTTCCTCTGGCTCCTGCGTCTGCCCGGCGAGATCCTGGCCATTCCCACGCCGCTCAAGCTGCCAGGTGAGTTGCTATTAAAAAAATAAACCGAAATCTCTAAGAACTGTTACCAAAAAGCTCTTAAATATTTTGGATTTAGTCTTCCAAAAAAAAAAGATTAAAAATAATAAATTGTAAAATATAAGACAGTAAAATTATTTTATAGTAATCCTCCCAATTGCGTGCTTTCTATAACTATACTAACTACAAATTATTTTAACCACATACATATGTAGTTAAGAGAAATTTTATCTTGTCATTGCTTCTCTCAGCTTTCTCCCTCCTCCGCTAACACCCAAGATGCCCCTTTCTTTTTTCAGGCTACACCCACAAGTTGACGCCCTACATCAAGCACTGGGAGGCGGCGAACTTTGATCGAGGGGTGCTGCAGGAGGCGCAGGTCAGGCACCTGGAGCAGGCCCGCTTCCGGCAAAAGCGACAGGTGAGGCCAGAGGCCACTTCGCCGAGTGGACTGGCGCACACCATTCCGCTTGAATTTCTCCGCCCACGACAGGTGAGTGCACTCGAGGGCGCCGACGAGACAATAATCACTTAATCACCTGACACCTTTTCACCCGCAGAGATTTTCGCCTGGTGCTGCGCCAGCAGCCACATTCGGTGTTCGCCCACGATGTAGAGATCGAGAATACTCTGGGTCCCATCGACTACGATGTCTCGCGCATTTATACGGGAAGCCTGGAGGACGATGAGGCCGCCCACGTCCAGGCGATCCTCACCAGCGACAATCTGCTGGACGGGACGATAGAGACCCAGGCGGAGCACTACTACATCGAGCCAGCGCATCGATATTCCCAGCAGCTGGCCGAGAGCGGTGTCCACAGCATAGTCTATAAGTTAAGTGATGTAAATATGCAGAAGGCGCAGTTTACGGGTGGAGGACTCAACTCCGCCGCGCCCGCCAAGACGCACTGCGCCAGCGAGAAGCTGAGGAAAAAGCGATGGCTGCCAGAGGAGGTAAGTTTTCAGGAGATAAATGAATCATTTTGATTTAACCTTTTATGGTTAAATTTAATTTCATATAAATCTGGTTATGCGCAATTTTGGAAAGACCGGAAATCCTCTGTTTAATTAACTTCTCCATTTGATTTATTTGCTTTCAGCTGGCCATGTCTGATGCTCCTGCGCCCACATACAATCGCAATCCACCCCTACCGCTGGATTTGGAGGTGCCGTATAACGATGATTTCCGCGTCCTAGCCTCAGAAGAGGACAAAAGCGAGGAGTCGTCGAGGAAGTACCCAACCACTTCCACAACCAGGAGCACGGTGCGCAGTACAGAGAGCTTTTTGGCCACGCTGACTAAGCCCACGTCGAACCGCAACATACTTGTAAATAACTACAATCCCTCCAATGTCGGCGAGGGAAGTCGCAGCTACAGCAACAACAATGCCAACAGCAATAATAATAATAATAATAACAACAACAACAATAGTAACAACAATGTGCGGAAGTTGTACACGAAACACAAGAACATTATTGTGAGCACGTACAATCGACCCATCGAACCGGAATTCGGAACGCCCTACGAGGAACCGAACAATGGTACCCGCGACCTGCCCAGTAACTTCTTCAATGCCAACTGGACGACGCTCTTTCTGGGAAACAATAACAATGGGAACGACCGACCCAGCCACAAGACGCATGTGGAGATCATCACCAAGAATGGAGCCACAAAGAAGCCAAATATTATTGTAAACAACTACAATCCGGAGATCATATTCGCCCCCAATCCACACAATCCTAGTTTCAACAGCATGTTGATGACGAATCTTCTGAGTGGAAGGGGCGGCGAGGATATTCATAGTTCTCCAAGGCTACTCTACGATCGCAAAACCACTTGCATGCTGTATCTACAGGCGGATCATACGTTTTTCCAGAAAATGGGTTCCGACGAGGCGTCCATAGAGGCTATCACTCGGCATGTGCAGCGGGCCAATACAATCTACCGGAACACGGACTTTAACAACGATGGCAAGCCGGATAATATCACCTTTATGATTAAGCGCATCAAGGTGCACAACATGAACGCGATGAAGGATCCCAGCTACAGATTCCCTGGCAACTACGGGGTGGAAAAGTTCCTCGAACTGTTTTCGGGTAAGAGATTGCTAAATACAAAAACTTTGTTTATTTGATTCAGTTTCAGTTCTTACAGTGATTAATTGTTTACTCTGATTTTGTGTATCTGCCTACACAAACTTTCTCTTTGGAGTTGTTGATATTCAATTAACATTATCTGTATTATTTTGACATGTGTTACCTTTTTTTGAAGGAATACAAGGTTGAAATCTTTTTAAGTAATGTGAAAAAGTAACACAAATCAATTAGAACAAGAAACGTTGGGTCATCCACCCTTAAAAGTGTGTTAATAACAAATCGATTGTTTAAAAATGTTTATAAATACTATCGAAATTAAAATCTTAATATATATAATCTTATCTTTACAGAGGAGGACTACGATGCCTTTTGCTTGGCTTACATGTTCACTTACCGTGATTTCGAGATGGGAACTTTGGGGTTGGCCTGGACGGGGGATCTTAAGAACGCTGGCGGAGTCTGCGAAAAGAATGGCCACTACAGGGGTTCCCTTAAGTCCCTCAATACGGGAATAGTAACGCTGTTGAACTATGGAAAGCATGTACCACCTGCAGTCTCCCATGTCACTTTGGCCCACGAAATTGGCCACAATTTTGGATCACCGGTAAGGATAATAAAATACTTAAAAAAAAAAGTTTACTTAGGATCATTTCCCCATTGTAGCACGATCCAGAGCAGTGTACTCCCGGCGGAGAGGATGGCAACTTTATAATGTTTGCCCGCGCCACATCGGGTGACAAAAAGAATAACAATAAGTTCAGCACATGTTCGCTGAAATCAATTGAGCCCGTTCTGAATGCCAAGGCACGTTCTATGAAGGGCTGTTTCACAGAGCCACAGTCATCGATTTGCGGGAATGGCGTGGTGGAACCGGGCGAGCAATGCGACTGTGGATGGGAGGAGGACTGCAAAGACTCGTGCTGTTTTCCCATGTCAAGGCAACCGCGCCTGGATGAAACTCCCTGCACCCTGACACCTCACGCCCGCTGTAGTCCCTCTCAAGGACCCTGTTGCACCACCGATTGCAAACTGAAGTTCGGTGACAAGTGCCGGGATGATAATGGCTGTCGGGATCCTTCCTTCTGCGACGGACGGGTGCCTCAGTGTCCTCCATCGGTAAACAAACCAAACAAAACCATCTGCAACAAGGAGTTCGTCTGCTACATGGGTGACTGCACGGGAAGTATTTGTTTGGCTTATGGACTCGAATCATGCCAGTGTATACCTGGACCCCAAGACGATCGAATCAAGTCCTGTGAGCTGTGCTGTAAACTGCCAGGAGAGGACAGTCCCTGCCGAAGTTCCTTCGAATGGAATGAAGCTCCTTTCGATGTGCCCGATATGTACTCGAAACCGGGAACACCCTGCAATGATTATAATGGGTACGTTTCTACGTTTTTAATAATTTCGAAGTCATATTTACACATACTACTCCCTTCCTTCTCAGTTACTGTGATGTGTTTCAAAAGTGCAGGGAAGTTGATCCCTCTGGTCCGCTAGCCACTTTGCGCAAGCTCCTTCTTTCAGAGGAGAGTATAGCCAGCTTCAAGAAGTGGATGCAGCACAACTGGTACACAGTAGCTTTAGCTGCTGTAGGCGTAATTCTGCTTTTGGTAAGTGGTATATCTAGAAACGGGAAGGAATTTATTGAATTCACTATTAAATATTCTTTGGTTTAATAAGTTAATGAAACTAGTCACGCAAATGTTAAGGGATCAGGTCGAGGCCAAAGCGCAAGCAAGGGCTCAGACCTTGGGTGAGCACTCAGACTTCCAGTGCCCTAAGTACTCCTGTAGATCTTATGGAGATCACTCATCTAGCAGCTCCTCTTGGGCTATTCTGAGGGCAATTTGTATTCTAGAAGTCATTAAAACATTTTCCTTTATCCTTTACCTGTGTAAACTAAAATTAAGACTTAAAATTCTGATTCTAATACCAAACTTTGTTTACCACAGGCGCTGAGCACAAAGCTGTTGGCGAAGCGGTCGAATCTGAAGCTTAAATCTGTCACCATTATACACAGCGCCACCACAGAGACAGTGCGTCTGCCGGAGAATAACAACGGGGTGATAGTCCATACAGCAGTAAGGACAAAAGTACCTTTCAAGAAGAAGGTTCGTGGCGAGCGGACCAAGAAACCAGGAACGGGAACAGTAACTGTAGCAGGAGTAACATCTACTGCTGCAGTTGCATCCCGAAGTGCAGCCAAAAGCAGTGCCAATCCAGAGCCAAAGAAGACAACTAGATCCCAAGCGATGGCCAAGAAGAAATCGCTTGAGGAAGAGCCTAAGAAATCGAACAAAAAGCTGGGCAAGCACATGAAAGAGATTATCGACTATTCGCATCGTAACAACAACGGCGATGATGCCTCCAATTTGTCGACCACCAATAACCATACCAACACCTTTGGTAAGGTGCAAAAGTGGCTTTTGGAATCACCAATTGTGGCCCAACCTCTGTCACACATTGAGCACAGTTCTCGAGTTCGCAAGGTGATGAGCAAATCGCAATCTACGCCAGAGAGACTTGTTCAAAAAACACCCCAGAAAACCAAGTCCATGGGCAATCTATCCAACGAGAAGGTCAAGCTGCAGGTGGTCTACAAGCCGCCCTTCAAGTTCTCCTTAAGGTTGTCCAAGAAACCGAAAGTAAAAACTCATGTGGTGGGCGCAGGTGGAGGAAGGCCAAAGAGAAGCCAAAAAACTAATAACCGAACAGCAGGTCAATCCTCTTCTAAGGATGTGACCACTCGAGCCAAAAGAAGTGCCCTGCTCCTCTGCAACGAGGCGGAGGATGATAACCAGATTCTCACCCTCAACGAACCCAACTACGAGACCTTGAAGCCACCAACGCCTCCACGTTCTTTGGAGCATTGCTACGAGAATGTGGATATGCAGGCAGAGCCCTCCTCTTCAAAGCCCAGCAGCAGCAGTAAGGTTGCTCCAAGCTCACAAAACAGATCTAGTTTAGATGCGGCTCCTCCTCCAGTTCCTGCTCAAAGGAACTCCTATCGCAGGTCTAACTCCCTGTCCACACACAATCCCTTTGCGGCTGCACCTCGCCGAAGCAGCAGTAAGGTTAGTGGATCGGTGAACCTCACGCGAAACTTTGGAAGCACTCAGAATCTGATTAATCTCAGTCAGAATCTGTCCAAAACAAAGAAGCGCAGTAGTCTTAACCTAAAGGCTAACGGTAGTGCATCCAGCAGAAGCGGGAAGGATCCTCCAACAGTTTCCTCGCCACAAAGACGTTCATCGTCAAATGCAAACCTTCGCAGGGACAGCAGTGTCTCATCTTCGAAGGCAGTTCCAATTCCACCGACCAGGAACTCGCGGAATAGCTTTAGCAACATTCCAAGGGCTAGTTTGGGAGGAGCAAACAGCAATGCCACCACAAACTCCGGAGCGGCACCACCCAGTTTCTCTCGTCAATCTTCCAGCAGCACGGCCACAAGCAGCTCCTCCATTACTCCAGGCTTAACATCTGGAGTAGCGTTGCAACAGTCCGCCTCCACAAGCGCCATGCAGCGTCAGCCACCCTCGCAGCCCATGAAGAGAAGCCTACACAACTTCAGGACGCGCTCCACAGGCCCAGGAGCAGCAACTGGAAAACCAGGAGCAGCAGCAACATCTGCAGGAGGAGCAGCAACTGCATCAGCAGCACCAACATCAAATGAGCTGCCCTCAGATCTGGAGGTAGTTGTATCCGATGTGGAGAACCTGGTTAGCTAAGGGCAGCTCTCCCGTTCCAGTTTCCAAAACCAACCAAGTGAAAGTGATAAGTCTTAATGTTAGTTATACAAATTGTCGCATAGGTTTACTTGCATAACATATATATATATTTGTACATACATTATATATATGTGTACTTTACACTGCCTTAAACTTGCCGTTTCTGCTGAATATGTGAAATACCACGCCCAATCACACGTACAGACACTGAACCGCATTCCACACGCCCATAAATCCCCCGACCAAGCCTCGCCCACCACCTCGAATGCATCACCACCCACTCAGCCACCCAACCGCTCACCCACTTGCCCACTGATGCCACCGCAATCCAAACCGCCAGCCGCACTCACCGCACTTTGTACCTTCTACTGTTTACTGTTTGTATTGTATTGTGTAATCTGAAATTTAACCAATCTCACTAGTTCCGGCTTCCAGATTTGATCAAATTTCGAGGATTTTATATTTAACTGTTTTTTAACATTCGATAAATGTTCCTTAGTAATAGATGAAGGAGGTTTTTAAGATGGAATCTCAAAGAATATATCCTCTGATTTGATCGAATTTGGAACTGGTAACAGGGCATATTATCAGGCTTTCAGTTTCGTCTGAGTTCAGTTTATATAAAAAAAAAAATGAGCTTTACTTCAAAATAAAATTCTCATTTCAATCACAGACATGAAACTTCATAACCAATTATAAGAACACAATCGAAATTGAATATCTGATCACATGCCCATCCCTTATGTTTGCCTAAACTTGGCTTATACTTCAAGTTAATTTCAAAGCAGTATTACTGTAATCGTTATGTACCTACTATATATTTAAATTGCTTAGTTTGCCTGCTATTCAAGTTTCAAACAACGATCACTACTCATCTGAACTACGAAGAACACACAGAACAATACAAGGTGCTATTTTAGTAACGAACTAAAACGATCAAATATTAGCCGAGAACAATTCAAAATCCTTTGCATATTTTCTCAAGATCAAAACTAAGATTAGAGGAGAATAGAGGTAGATAGAGGTTGGTGAAGCAGAAGAAGTAGAATATAGGATAATAACATGGGGAGCCGGGTAAAGTTGCAAATAGTTGTACGGAATAGATACAAAGATAACCAACGAGATACTGTCAATAAATCAAAAGCGTCATGCATCGAAAGTAGGTTTTAGAAAATGCCCAGCAAAGCCACATAGGAAGTTAGCCACCCCACCATTAACATTAATCCACCCGATCCCCTGGAGCACCGGCACCTGTAAACACGCATCGATCCCATAGGAACACCTGCAATTCCGTAGTCCGTAGTGTACATAGGATATCGAATGGACATAGTTTTTATATGCAATACCAAGTTAGAGCAACAAGCAATGAGAACAAACCAGAATGGGACACCTAACACCTAGCGATATTCATGCATACGTAGGATATAGAGTCACATTCCGTATTGAAATCACAGAGCAGCGGCTTTCGAGTTACACACGAACACCCCAAACACCGCAACACCCAATAACAATAACGATCTTTAGGCTAAGAATAACAATTGATATTTGTAGCTATATGAATGTGTAGGAAATCAAAGGCGTATCAAAAAAATATATACATACATCCATATGGGGCGTGCAATAGCCATTGCAACTTTACGAGCATTTGGGTATATTTTTGTGGAATGTACAAGATACAAGATAGAAGATACATAAGCTCAGCTCAAGTAACCGAAAACCGACCCAAAATATCGAATATATACAGACAGACAGTTAACGCGTTGGCCAGTAAAGGAAAAACGGAGAACGGAAATAGTTGAAACGAGTACGCGACAATCGCTTTGAAATGCTTAACATAAAAAAACAAATTATGGTAAACCCCAAAATCGAATTGAAGTTTAGTTTCTACTTGACTACTTAAATCTATATAAAATATTGGCAGGAAAAAGTATTGAAAATTACCAAAAGAAAAAAAAAGAAGTTTAGGACACATAGAAAATACACTGGAATGGGAATATGTTTCTTAATAGATTGTACTAAATGCAAACCAAATAAGGACATGCAAGATTCTCGTCAAAATTTTTCAAAGACTTCAGCTCAAATTAGAAAACAAAAAACTTCTAGGATTACATCTACTCCCATTCCGTGTATTTCCAAAGGTCAAATTTGATTACCAAGTGTAATTAAAACGATGGAAGAAGGAAGGAACATTTTGAAAATTGCCAATGTTTGTGTACTGTATATAATGAAATGCAAATGATTATTGTCTAAGCGGATGGAAGAGAGTATTTTGAGCGTGACAAAAAGACTATTTAGCGCGAAATGAACAATTTTTGTGTAATGTACATAAGAAACCGATTGATTTTAATCTAAATATACATAAATATTAATGTAATTGTAAAACTGCAAACGATTTTTAAATCTGTATGTGTATTGTGTACCTCAATTGTAATTAATTTTTTTATACTTTTCACGAGATGGATTAATGCTATTTTTATAATTTAGCTAAATGAATTATAAACACGTATGTACGTCTCCCGATCCCCCACGAAACCAACGTCTGCCCCCTAGTTAATGGCCAGTTTTAAATGTTGTCCAAGACCGCATCACCCATCCAACAACCTACATAAATACATATGTAATTTTGTCAATTAAGAACGCGTAAATGTCTTTAAGAAGTCGAAAGAATTAAAACGAAATGAAATGAAACGAATAAAACAAAAACCGAAGAGCAAAGAAGTGAATACTAGCATTTTACGATTAATATTTTAAAAGACAATTCAAAACAATAATTAACGTATGTATTATGATTAGCAAACAAAAAGCACATGTGTGAGAAATCAGTTGTACTTTATGTTACGATTACTACAATACTTTATTTATTAATCTTATCGTTAGGCAATAACACGAGTGTAACTAATTTTTAACCCGAACACACACATATGCGATACTTTATAATTTCCTCATTTTAAGCAAAATTCAATTAACAATAAAAATGAAACTAATACTTAAGGACGTTCGACTTATTGTACTACATTTAAGTAGACTTCTTTTCTGCCCTCTCCAACTTCAAGGCTCTTTTGGCCATGATCCAAAAGTAGAGACTTGGACAAAGATGACGTAGATAATAGGCAATCTTGGCCTGCAGATCACTGACAATAATATCTGGTTCATTGCGAAGAATACATTGCAGAATGCGTTCTGCTAGTTTATCTGGCGACATGCCCTTGGCCGTGGTTTCGTCCATTTCTAGATGTAATGTATATATGGGATTTAGTTATGAATTTCATAGTTTTCTTTTAGTTAACATACTTCCATAGCTGCTCCCCGATCCTGTTAAGGCATTTAAAGAAAGCTGTGTGCGTATATAGCCAGGACTCACGCAGGAGACGTTTATGTTCTTGCTGGCAACTTCGGCGCGCAGGGAATCGGCAAAGGCCTGTATCGCGTGTTTCGAAGCGGAATAGGCGGCCCTTTGGGGAATTGCGAATTTTCCTTGGACAGAGCTAATAAAGCAGATGTGGCCACTACCGCGTTTTACCATAGACGGAATCAGCGCTAAAGAGTTACACAAATATAATAAACTATCTCAGGAATTGGTTTAATTTCCCACCTTTAGTTAGGGCTACGCTGCCGAAGTAGTTGACCACCATCACCTTGAGATCCACATCCACTGCTGTGGATGCCACATCCGCTCGCACACTGATACCTCCATTGTTTATGAGTATATCAACTTGATTATATACTGCCAATACGCGGGTAACAAACTCTGGAATGGTATTCAATTCTGCCAGATCGAGAGCCAGAACGGTCGGTGGATAAGCAGGATCCTGGAAGGATTATGGAATTTTTAAGATAATTAAAAAAATTAATTGAAAATAATGAGCTTGTCATTACCAAATCTAGTGCGAGTAGATCCTTCTTTACCCGTTCCAACTCCTGAGTTCGACGTGCCGCCAAAATGACCTTGCATCCAGCACGGTAGAAAACATGAGCCAGGGATTCGCCTAAACCTGAACTAGCGCCTGTAATTAGCACAACCTGCAAATGGTTTACATAATTAGCCGGCTAATCAGTAAATAGGTTTTATCAATTACCTTGCCGGGCAATTGATTACGGTATTTTTGGGCCCTGAACCTTTGCCAAATATTGAAGATGGCCAATGGGAGGGCTACCGGCATCAGGATCGTACCCAGCACCCAGTAAAGGACGTTCCAGTCGCTACTGGGAGAACATTTCTCCAGGTCCTGCACTTTCATTTTCAAAATCTGATGCGATTCAAACCTTTGAACTTCAAACCAATTGCAAAATGATTAGCAACGCAACGAAAACAAACAGCAATAGCCATTCACTGGGAACTGAGTACAGTAAAGATCAGTTGGGAGAAATAAGGATTAACCAAATAACTAAAGCTATTTTTACGAAGATAAGTCTTAAGATAATATTTATTAATATTTAGTATTTTAGAGTTTTTTTATTAATTTTTTTTTTATTTAATGAATTTATCGAATTTCTTTTACCAAGCACAGCTGTGTAAGCGCTTTACTTAGAATAGCAATTTAAAACAGCTGATTGTTGTTACGTTGTTTTGTTGAGGAACCTAGTTTAATGAAATTTTATTAAAATTGACTTAATGCCACGATGAATAACCTCCTGCGACAGGGACATCGCCTGGGCTGCTGCCTACCGGTTGTCCAACAGCAAATCCACACCACCGCCGTGCATAGAACCTTCTGGGAACGTGAAAAGAAGTCCGGCTACAAAACTAAACTGCCGGAGCCTTCGAAAAAACAACTCATTATGGACGGATTGAGGGATCTGAAGGAAGAGATGAAACTGTGGCGGCAGGAGGTCAAGGAGCAGCTGGAGAGTGATCCCATCCTGGTGTTCCGGCCTGGAGAAACAGATGTCGTGTTCGATTTCAAAGCGCCGGATGTGCTAGACAAAGTGGACAGTGACTGCAGATGCGGATCACGGCGAGGGAAAGAGTAGTGCCACCTTGGAGCTTAGTGCAGCCGGAGCTGGTCTCTTTCATGGCGAAGTCAACTCGGATCACACCAAGGACGGTATCATAAAAAGGACGGGCTATGCTAATATACGAACAAAGAGAGTTCGGGTACGTTTAAAATGAAATGGCATCTAGATATCCATAATATAAATACTATATATTTTCTATGTCCTTAGAAATCCTTTAAACGAGAGTCCACCTACGACTGGACGCAGTACAACATGTTGATCATGAAGGTGCGAGGCGATGGACGCAGCTACCTGATCAATCTGCACACCGAGGGCTACTTCGATCTGATGTGGAACGATATCTATCACTATGTGCTGTACACTCGTGGTGGTCCCCACTGGCAGATAGCCAAAATTCCCTTTTCCAAATTCTTCCTCTCCTCGAAAGGACGTGTCCAGGATCGCCAGGGAGCCATACCGCTTAACAGGATCACCCACTTTGGGTTCTCCGTGGCTGCCAAGAAGGGAATGGACGGTCCGTTTGGATTGGAAATAGACTATGTGGGTCTAGAGTACGATCCCAGTCATCGCGAGGAGTTCGCTTACGAGATGTACCAGACTCCGAAATATATTGTGGCCACGTAACGTAACGCTTACGTTACGGCGGTGTTATTTAATTGTAGAGTACGTACGGAAAACAGTAAAAATTGGTTAACAGAAAAATTAAAAAAGTATTTTTCATTCAATGAAAGGCGAACATTTATGTCTCAATGTTATACTCTAACTTTTCGAATTAAAGTTCTTTCTTTAAAATTGTTTTTAGTGTAAGATTCGTACAAGCTTTAAAAACAGACGTTCTTTATAGCCACTAAATACTGCACTCAGCTGTTTTTCTTTCTATTGCTCTCTTCCTTGTGCTGCACCTTTCTCTTTGCAATCAGCTGTTTAAATGTTTACATTCACATCGTCGATTCTTCAGGGTCATTTTAGCGTTGAAATTGCAGTTTTTATTCCTTTTCCAGAGGCTTTTCAAGTCTCTCGACAGCCAATTAACGTTCGGCTTTAAGTTTTTCTGTGACTTGCGTTTGGCGCTCAGTCTGCTCCGAAACTTCGACCGATAAAAGCGGCCGGGGAACTTCCTCTTCAGTTTCTTAGTTTTGTCGCTGGAGACACAGATATACATAGTGCTAACTGGTGCTTCAGTTTCATTATCAGACATTAGATAAAATCATGGTAAATATTTAAGTGATAAAAATAAAATTATGCTTTGCCAGCAAGGCAATTGTGTTAAAATATAGGAAAATGTGGCCATGTGGCAGTTCAGTCACCGCGACCTTGAGCACACGTTGTTTATTTTAATCCTAGTTGAAACCACAACAAACTAATCAATACTAGTCGACGGTCTTACGCACTTTACCGGTTTGCTCTACTACTTAAGTTATGCGCCAAAAGTAGAAAATAAATGTTATTAAATGAGACAAAACCAGTTGGCCATCGAATCGAAAGTGTTGCGCTCAAGAAACCAGTTCTCGATACCATTCCTGTTATCGCGACTCCACCTTTTTACCTGTTGACTGAATATCACCTTCAGTTTTGCCTCCATCGGCGTCACTTGCTGACGTGTGAAGTCCATTGCGAAAATGGTGCAATTTACGGTAGCTGCAATCAGTAAAACTTAGCCGATAGAAAGCATCTCTAATCTATTAAATCACCGCTTGATATTTACTGATTATAAATACTTAACATGTTCTTATCTTATCTGTAAAAGTATTTACTTTTGAAGTACACTTTATTATAAATATAATAATAAATATAATACTATGTGCATTTTTTTTATTTTATAAAATAACCTAATAATTACAGGAGGAGACGTATCTATACGACCCTAGTCTGCTGATAAAGCTGGACTTCCATCGCAGTCCCGCCAAGTTCAAGCCCTTTATATCGGCGGCTAATCCTGGCGAGCCCTGGATGAAAGTGCGTCCTCTGAAGGACACGGACTACGATAGGGGTTTCCTTCAGCTGCTTTCCCAACTCACCCACGTGGGCAATGTGAATCGCACGCAGTTTCTGAGTAAGTCATTATCATTATTCCAGTTCATTGGATTCACTCTTAACCGCGTTCCTTTCTTAGCCCGCTTCTCTCAAATGAAGGCCAGTGGAGATTATTTTGTCACCGTAATTGAGGATACCCGCAAAAATGAGATTATTGGAGCCGCCTCTTTGGTGATCGAGCGCAAGTTTATTCATAACTGTGCTGTGGTGAGTAGTCCTTTCTTTATCTATAAATTAAAGCTAATGGTTTGTTGGTTCTTTAGCGTGGTCGTCTAGAAGATGTGGTGGTAAATGATACATATCGCGGCAAGCAACTGGGAAAGCTGTAAGCTTGAGTGGAGAACTCGAAATAATAAATACTAATTCCATGTTCCATCCTCAGGATCGTGGTGACCGTATCTCTGCTCGCCGAAGAACTGGGCTGCTACAAAATGTCGCTGGACTGCAAGGACAAACTTATCAAGTTCTACGAGTCCCTGGGCTATGTGGCTATTCCTGGAAACTCCAACTCTATGACGATTCGGTATGACGAGGGGCCGACGCTCAAGCGGAATGTAACCTCTACTGGCTCCAGTGGAACGGTGGGCGACTCCTGCCAAACTGTGAGCCTCGATTTTGCTTCTTGACAATTAGCCGCCAACGCTGCTCCAAAGTCCAAGCTTTGAGAGGGTACACATCCCTTCTCAAAGTGAAAATTGCGCGAAGCGCAATGCAAAATACACAATTGGATTCTAAACAACAAAAATAAAGTGCATTGCCAAAATTCCATTGCGCTGAGGGCATGATGGATTTTTGGACAGCGCTGGCAGGCGGTGGTGTCCTTGTGGGACTGACGTGATTCCAACCTCAAGCCACCCGCGAGGACATACAATTAGTTATTTAGTTAAAGACAACCGCAACATATGTTGCTTTCTGTTTTTAATCCCTACAGAACTCTCAATTTTATAATTTTTTCTCCCCTTTCTGCTACTGATTGTGCGGCTCAACTCTCAACTTGAAGGTAGTTGTAATATTACCTTTTAAAAGCACCTTCATCAAGTAGCCTTAAGTTTTATAAACTCGCATAAATACACTATTCATAATACTAATCAACGATTACAGCTCAATACGAATCTGACAAAAACATTAAAGAATGTTCGAATAAATAAAATGAGAAATTGTGATTGAAATAAACATCCCTCTTAAATACTTCTTAGTACAACGATTTTAATAACAGACAACAATTTTATTTGGTATTTCTATTTGAAAATATTTAAGTAACAAATACGTGCAGGAAAGGTAGTTCTGATATAATTACTAGTCTGTTAATTTGTTTTGGCTAAGTTATTATCTAACTCTTAATTATATTATTTCACATAAAGTTAGCTTATAATAGTGCGTACCTCGAATTATCTCTGATTTACAACAAATTAGTTTTCGATGATTTCGAGGAACGTGCTTTCGAACTTTTCTTAAATGTTTTTTGCAAGGTACTTATTGGGCATACGTCTTCTCTATTTACAAAGACTTCAAATGGGGGGCAGAAGCTGGGTAAACCCAGCCTCCTCCGCGTCTCATGAGTACGCACAGAGGTGTCCACACTTGGGGCACTTGGAGTGCTTGGCAAAGTAATTCTGCAGGTGTTCTATATGACCTCCGTGGGAGCATCCTTGGCACCAGGCGTAGACTCCCCGTACGATCAGACCGCAAACGCAGCATTTGGCCGACTGCATAGACTTGCACTTATCGCAGTACCATCCCACTTTCCCACCCATTGGGCGTCCACATTCCCCGCAATTCGTGTGCATGGCTGTCGAGTGCTGGTTAAGCTGCTGCACCGATCTCAGCCAGGACCGGTTGATCACCTCACAAGCCTCGTTCCACAGTTCATATCGATGCAACTGGTCTACATAGGTGTAAAACCAGTGCTCCTAAGAAGATAAAACCAAATGAATACCATTTTTTCTATTACAGTTTAAAATAGTTACTCACTACTAACGCATCCTCAATCGGCAGGAGCTTACGAGCTTCTCCCAAAGCTATAAGAACTGTCAGAGCTGTTTGCACATCGCCGACATCATTCATCAGCATGAGAGCATCAGAAACGAATTTATGTGGCTCCCACATGGGAATGGGCGGAACATGGCTGACTTTTAGAACAGTTGGAACATGAGGTGGCTGAATAAAAAATAACAATATAGATAAACTTAAAATATATCAGATAATTTTATAATCCCAACTTACAGGGGACTTTTCGTGATCGGAAGCCTTGAGATCCAGTTGTGGGCGTGCTGCCTGCACATCGTGATGAAGGGCAGGAAAGGCCAACGCTTTTGCGCATTCCGTGGGACCTACGTAAATGAATCCATTGCGCAACAGCTCAAAGTTGTCAAAGGTAATCTCGCTGATAATTTGCGTCTCGGACAGAATCACTGAACTTGTGGGCGGATGCTCCACACCGCTCCCACCTAGCGTATCATCGTCCACATTTGCGTCGTCAATCTCGTGAGCCGTCTCCGGTGTATTTCCATTGAGATCTTGACCCAGATCACTCCGCTGCTGAGGCCAATCGCTGGCCACTTGTGTGGCCCGTCGGGAGTTCATTGGATTTTTTTGATTTGAAAACGAGGAGCGGTGCTCGAAGGGCGGCTCAAAATGATTACTGCCATAAAAAAGTTTGATGAAGTTCCACAATGTTGTGGCCTGAAAAGAATACAGTATTATGTTTTTTGGAAGCTCCTCGAATCATCTGAAGTTCATACATTATGTTTGCCGTATTTTTTGGAAACCTCTGCATTGTGCTCGCATAGCTCCGCAAGTTTTTTGCCGCTGATTTTGAGTTCCCTTGCACAGCCAATAAAACTCTCGTGTTCCTGGGTTGGTCTATTAACGGACTCACTCAGCGGGTATCCAGAAAACTTTAATAAATTCTGTTAAGATATGCCATGGTTATCTTTTTTACAGTGCAACTCACCGTATCGTTAACCATGAATTTGTACATCTTGGAATGATCCAAATGAAACTGACTACTGCCAGCCACATTCGTTTTCCGGCGACTTCTGGAAAGACCACTCTTAGAAACTTGCAAATGAATATAATTAGGAAGTCATACATAAAGCTCGAGGACTTGGTATTAGAGGCGCCACTGGTCTTTGGGGCATATTCTTTGATCTTGTTGGCAAAGGAGATGTCCCCAAACCGGCCCAAGCTTGCTCCCTGCGCATTTGCTTTCATCGCTGGTCTCGTGGCATCCTTAAAAGCATGTTTGTAGATGGTGGAATCTTTGCTGATGGATAGCAGGCAGTGGGAATCGCTGCCCTGCCACGCAATTCCTGTGGTCACGTTGGTGTGCTCGTTGAAGGATGCGAAGGGAATGTAGGGTCTTCGGATGTCCCACACATGGACACTATAGTCCACAACCAAAGCACAGCTGGCAATGTGATAGCTGAAGAAGATTGTATAAAATAAATATTGGCATAACGTTTATGAGGCTTAAAAACCCACGTTCTTTCTGGTCGCCACTTAACCCGACCCACCACGGCGATTGTGTGAATGGTGTGCTCCAACCCCGGTCTGCCGTCCATGTTCCACACCTTGATCTGTTTATCCCGACTACCGGTGGCCAGCCAATTCCGCGTCGGATGCCAGTCGCACGTATAAACTGGTCCATAGTGCGCCGTAAACTGTACCATGCATTTGTCCCACTTCCTCATGTCCCACAGTTGGACGGTTCCATTTTCAGAGACGGCGGAGAATATGTTCTGCGTATGTGGACTGAACTTGACGTCTCGAACGGACTCAGAATTGCAGAAGTATGTATTGACGGATTTATCCGATCGGATATCGAAGCACTTAATGGTACCATCTTGGGAACCTGAGATCAGGATGTTGGGTTCACTGCTGTGGAAGGTCACGGTGTGGGCAGTGCGTTCATGTTCGTTATAAACAAGGAGCTGCTTTTGCCTGCCAAACTTGGAGAGATCCCACACGGAGACCACTCCATTTGTCGCCGCTGTGGCCAAAAGATTGCTATCCAAGGTGGACCAGGCCACATCGTTAGCGGAGTAGCTAAGATTTTGGTTCTTCCCCCGCATATTGCAAGATTCTGTAAAGCCATTGCTGTTTATGGCGTAAACCTTCAGCACTGTTAATGGATAGAATACGTTGTATTTATAGGAAGACCTTGTATAAGTCTAATCTTACAGCTTCTTCCGGCCAAAGCGATCTGGTTGTTATCCTTGTTCAATGCCAAGGCATTCGCATGTCCCTCCACGCAAATCCGTAGCGAGATTGTGGAGGCTTCCTCCACGGAATCAGGCATCCTGGAACAATTGCAATTCGGCCCTGGGAACACAAAATAGTGATTTGATAAGACAAGACGCTATCTTTTATTTTCTTTTGGTTCAGTAGGACCGTTTTAGAGCGGCAAAGTTTTGCGGTGTGTTCTTAAACTCACAGTTATAAGAGATTTGAAAGCAAAGAAGCAAAAAATTTTATTTTTTTTGGTTGTATTTATATTATTATATTTCTTTTTGTTTTTTAAAAATAGTATTAAAAACAACTGAGAATTAACGTTGCTTAATTGGATTGTTCTAAAGTATTCAACGAACTCCTGGAACACCCCAATAAGATCCGCAAAATAAAACACGACGTTGCCAGACCGCTCACACCGGCAGAGTGGCAACACCACCTTGCGCCCTTGCTGTTTACAAAAATCACGGCCAACTTTTTCGGCAATTTCAATTTATCAGCGCAACAAGTTGCTGCGTGAAAGCAGGCACAAGGAGCCAGGGGATCCTGATTCGTTTCCAAAATGCCGGACATTAAGATAACGCCACTAGGCGCCGGTCAGGATGTGGGTCGCAGCTGTCTGCTGCTCTCGATGGGCGGCAAGAACATAATGCTCGACTGCGGGATGCATATGGGCTATAACGATGAGCGCCGCTTCCCGGATTTCTCTTACATAGTGCCGGAGGGCCCGATCACCAGCCACATTGACTGCGTGATCATCTCGCATTTTCACCTGGGTAAGTCTTTCAGTTCCTTATCTGGGTAGCCTAGTCTAATCGTTTCTTTATCGATGGTGACATTCCAGATCACTGTGGCGCCTTGCCGTACATGTCCGAAATTGTGGGCTACACCGGACCTATCTACATGACTCATCCGACCAAAGCCATAGCGCCCATCCTCCTGGAGGACATGCGTAAGGTGGCCGTGGAACGGAAGGGCGAGTCAAATTTCTTTACCACTCAGATGATCAAGGACTGCATGAAGAAGGTGATTCCGGTCACGCTCCACCAGAGCATGATGGTAGACACAGATTTGGAAATCAAAGCCTACTACGCTGGTCATGTCCTGGGTGCCGCCATGTTCTGGATCAAAGTGGGCTCCCAGAGCGTGGTCTACACGGGGGATTACAACATGACTCCGGACCGGCATTTAGGTGCGGCCTGGATAGATAAGTGCCGACCAGATTTGCTGATCTCCGAGAGCACCTACGCTACCACTATCAGAGACTCGAAGCGTTGTCGAGAAAGAGACTTCCTTAAGAAAGTTCACGAGTGTGTGGCCAAGGGCGGCAAGGTCTTGATCCCAGTTTTTGCCCTGGGCCGCGCTCAAGAGCTGTGCATCCTGCTGGAGACTTACTGGGAGCGCATGAACCTAAAGTACCCCATCTATTTTGCTTTGGGTCTAACTGAGAAGGCCAACACCTACTACAAAATGTTTATCACTTGGACGAATCAAAAGATCCGCAAGACTTTTGTCCACCGAAATATGTTTGACTTTAAGCATATCAAGCCATTTGACAAGGCCTACATCGATAATCCCGGAGCCATGGTTGTGTTCGCCACGCCGGGAATGCTGCATGCGGGACTCTCTCTGCAGATCTTCAAGAAGTGGGCGCCCAACGAGAATAACATGGTTATAATGCCCGGCTATTGTGTGCAGGGCACCGTGGGCAACAAGATCCTGGGAGGCGCCAAGAAGGTTGAGTTTGAGAACCGTCAAGTGGTAGAGGTAAAAATGGCCGTAGAATACATGAGCTTCTCAGCACATGCCGATGCCAAAGGTAGGTTCAAAAGCAATCAGACATAAAATAATAACAATAACCTATCTATTTTTAGGCATCATGCAGCTTATCCAGAACTGTGAGCCAAAGAACGTAATGCTTGTCCACGGCGAAGCAGAAAAGATGAAGTTCCTCCGGTCAAAGATCAAGGACGAGTTCAACCTTGAAACCTACATGCCGGCCAATGGAGAGACATGTGTGATTTCTACTCCTGTGAAAATACCAGTAGATGCCTCCGTTTCGCTGCTTAAAGCAGAGGCCCGCTCCTACAATGCCCAGCCTCCGGATCCCAAGCGAAGGCGGCTCATCCACGGCGTCCTTGTGATGAAAGACAATCGAATAATGCTGCAAAACCTGACCGATGCCCTTAAAGAGATTGGCATCAACCGACATGTTATGCGATTTACGTCCAAGGTCAAGATGGACGATCCCGGACCAATGATCCGGACAACCGAAAGGCTGAAGACTCTGCTCGAAGAAAAGTTAGCCGGTTGGACGGTAACGATGCAGGAGAACGGCTCTATAGCCATCGAGTCCGTTGAGGTAAAGGTGGAGGAAGACGAGAAAGATCCCAAGCAGAAGACCATTTTGATATCCTGGACCAACCAGGACGAGGACATCGGAGCATACATACTAAACGTTCTCCAGAATATGTGCTAGGCAACGAAGAAGAGTCCCAATGAAATCCCAAGCCTTAATTCCATAGATAAGCACAAAGTGTAGATACCAATTTCTGAAATTTGAATATCGGTCAAAATATACGTAAATATTCCAACAAGGCTTCGGAATTTGTAACTACAACTTCTATTTTTTAAGGTATTGATCTTGATTTTCTACAATTAATTAATAACAATGCAAATTTAAAGTTAAAACATTTTAAATACAACTGATTGCAATTAGGCATGTTAACATTACTTCTTGAATTGGATTAAAGTATATTTATTGGCATTTATATAAGAATGTAGACACAATCAAACTATTTCAGTAAAAGTTTTGAGTTTTTTAGGTATTATGCTTTGAACTATAAAAAGGAACTAATCATCAAATCTGAAATAATATCAAATTTTGAATATAAGAACAGACCTTAGTTAATCCTCTTAAATTTCTTGCCTCCCTATCTCCACTAGTTAAAGAGTCCAAGGTTAAAGTTATTTTCGTTCGTTCCACGCTATTTATTCTTGGGTTTTTCTGAAAGTGTAACATTAGTAGGCTCCAGGCGTCGCTCCGGGTGCCTGGCACCATATGCAATTAGCTTTATGAATCGTAGGAGCCTTTCGAACACAGAAACATTCGCTTATGTGAGGGCGGCGGCACCGGAGATGATTTCAATCAGCTCGCGAGTGATGACAGCCTGTCGGGTACGGTTGAAGGTGAGGGTCAGCTTGTCAATCATCTCACCGGCGTTCTTGGAAGCGTTGTCCATGGCAGTCATACGGGAGGACTGCTCTGAGCAGGCGCCCTCCTTCATGGTGTAGAAGATGAGCGAGGCCAGCGAGAACTCCAAGTAGCTCTTGACCACATCGCTATCGAGCGAATCGTAGACAGCCAGCTTCTCGGACTTCTCCACAGTCGATCCGCTGTAGATGGGAAGGGTGGAGCACTGGTAGGACACCACCGACTTGAACCGGTTGTAGACGATCTTGCCCTCGGTGTAATCGTAACCGGTCTGCAGAACCTCGTTGGCGATCTTTGAGGCGTCCAGGAAAGTGGGCGGCAGACGGCCGACCTCGTTGGCCACCATCAGGATGTTCTTGCCGTACAGGCGGGACAAAATCGCGCGCGACTTGTCACCCACGCAGAACACCTTAGTGTTAGCCTCGTCCTGGGCCAGTTCTCCACGGATGAGACGGGCCACACCAGTGTGGACGGCTCCGCAGAGACCACGATCCGAAGTCACTGCGATGAGCAGCTTCTTGGGCTCGGCCTTCTCGTCAGCCTGGATTTCCGTCTTCTCGAAGAATTGCTGGGCACCAATGCCATAAGGACGCGCCGCCTTCAAGTCTCGCTCGGCACGAGCGTACTTGGCAGCGGACACCATCTTCATCGATTGCGTAATTTTCTGAATGTTCTTCACCGACTTCAGACGAATGGAAATCATCTTCAGGGTGGCCATTCCACGCTGCTGCTGGGCCAGCATGGTGGCCTCCATGGCCAGGGGCAGCAAGAGCTGGGTACGTTGCATCATCATCCTGTGAGCTGTCGAAGATTCCCTGCCCCGAAAATTAAATCAGTTTCAACTCGGCAAAATGGTCGGAGAAAATTCACCTGCGTTAAGTTGGCTGCGCCACAACGAGTGTTATAACACCGAGCTACGTTGCCACCCCGTCGAAATTGATAGTTCGGGGTGAATGGTAAAATTGTAGTAGAAGAGTAGATGAGGGGTTTTATATCTTACTCAATATATTTCAATAATGATATGTTGTCCAAATTAATATAAGGTTAATTGATTGAAATTAATAAGAAAAATGTTTGATTTCAAACATAAGAAATTAAGTAATCCCTTCATAAAATGTGTGCCTCTACGCCCCTTATCAATATGCACTTTGAAATCCAATTAAATGTTTCAATCCACTTAAAATCTGCAATAAATTCATATATGTTGTTTTGGTATTTTTGCTAAACTTAATTTTAATGGACGTTTACAGTTTTGGTGTATAAACTTAAAACTTATAAATAGTTGATAACGAAAAGGTGGTTATTTAAAGATGCCAGATAGATTTATATTCTCGACCAGAGTTGCCCTCTTGATTTTCCAATTCTCCGTCGCAGTCAGCTGCTCACGCACGCCTCCTGTTATTCCGTCACTAACGCCTCACGCAAAAAAAGCTGACGTACTCGGGAAAAAGATTAGGATAATTCGACGGAGACGAGCACCCGATCCGATCAATCAACTTCCCCGCCCCGCAGTATAGCCATATATATCAGATCGCCCTGTCCAGGATTCCCGGGACCCCAGGGATGATACCACTGGGGACGAAACACAGCGGATAAGTTAGCCAGTGGGCCAGCGTGTGTGTGTGTGCGTGTGCAAAGCTGGAAAATTGTTGCTGCGCAGCGAAGGAATATAAAGAACATATAGCATCAGAATTGGTATGACGAAGATAAAGATAAAGCTAAGGCTAAAGACAGAGGCATAAAGCTAGAGGATAAACCGAAAATCGGGAGTTTTAACAACCAAATTCAGTGCCTTTGCAGCAGCAACAAGGTGTACGTGCGTGTGCGTGTGTGTTGCCTGCGCAGTGTGTTGTTGTTGCAGTTGCAATCGCCAGTGGCTGTTGTTGTTGTTGTTGCTGTGTGACACAACAGTAACAAAATATTGAGCCGCCGAGCAAAACACATGATGTGGTCGTTCTTCTCGCGCGACTCCTCGAAAGACTTCCCTTATGACATTGGCGAACCCGTTGGCGGTTTTGATCAGTACTCCATATGGACACTGCACAAAGCCAAACGCAAGACCACGCTAGAGGAGGTGTCCGTATTTGTCTACGACATCCGTAGTGGGTCGGATACCAAATGCGAGCTGGCAAAAGCATCGCTGAAGAGGCTAAAGACATTGCGTCATCCCAGCATCCTGCAGTACCTGGACTCCCTGGAAACGGATAAGATGCTGTATGTGGCCACCGAGGCGGTTGATCCGTTGGGCAGCTACTTTGCTAAGCTCGGCAGTGACAATGTTCAAAAGGGCCTCTACCTGGCCTGGGGCATCTTCCAGATCACTGTAATAGTAAAAATGCTTTTTTAATGAATAGCCTCTTTAACAGAACTTCCAATCCCTTCCAGCGCGCCTTGTCCTTCCTTAACAACGATGGCAATCTGCGGCACAACAACGTGTCCGCCTGGTCGGTGTTCGTCAATGCCTCTGGCGAGTGGAAGCTGGGCAGTCTGGAATATGTCTCAGCGGCTGACGGCAATCCCATGCCGCCCGCCAAGATACCAGTTACCCTGGAGGTCTACGATTCCCCTGAGAAAAACGATCAGAGCAAGCTCAAAGCAGCCACAAAATGGTACGTAATCGGTTGCCCTCTGAATATAATAATGATAAACTTTCAAATCTAATACCCAATCAGTTCCGTGGACATGTGGGGTCTGGGCTGTCTGGTATGGGAAGCCTTCAATGGTGTGCTCAAGCAACGCTCCAACCTCAAGGATTTAGAACATATACCCAAGTCCCTGCAATCGCTCTACTGTGAGTTAGTGGGAGCCTCGCCTTCAAATCGCCCCAATCCGGCGGATATAATCACTCGTTGCCGTAAGCCAGGAGGATTCTTCAAGAACGATTTGGTGGACACACTGCTCTTCCTAGAGGAAATCCAGATCAAGGACAAGGCGGAGAAGAATCGCTTCTTCAGTGGGCTGACCACGCATCTGGACAACTTTCCGGACAATGTGTGCAGACACAAGATACTTCCACAGCTGATAACAGCCTACGAGTACGGCGACGCGGGCTCGGCAGTACTGGCACCCATGTTTAAGGTTGTTCTCTAAACTTGTACTTATATGGCTTCAATTTATAGATAATTCTAATCTTTTAGCTGGGCAAACTACTGGATGAAGTGGAGTACCAGAAACGCATAGTGCCCTGTGTGGTCAAGTTGTTTGCTTCCACGGATCGGGTGACGCGATCGCGTCTGCTACAGCAGCTGGACCTGTTCATCGCGCATTTGCAGCCACAGGTGGTCAACGATCAGATTTTCCCCCAGGTGGCTCACGGGTTCCTAGACACCAATGCCACAATTCGTGAGCAGACGGTCAAGTCGATCATCCATTTGGCACCCAAGTTGAACTACAACAATCTGAATGTGGAGGTTCTGCGTCACTTTGCAAGGCTGCAGGCGCGGGATGACCAAGGCGGAATTCGAACTAATACGACTGTGTGTTTGGGCAAGATCGCGCCGCACTTGCATCCGCAGGTGCGCCAGCGTGTGCTGGTCTCCGCCTTCATCCGCGCCATGCGGGATCCTTTCCCGCCCGCACGAGTCGCCGGAGTTTTGGCTCTAGCCGCCACACAGCAGTACTTTTTGCTCAGCGAAGTGGCCAACAGGGTTCTGCCATCTCTGTGTTCCCTCACCGTCGATCCGGAGAAGACGGTACGTGATCCGGCGTTCAAAACCATCCGAGGATTTTTGGGAAAGCTGGAGAAGGTATCCGAGGATCCAAGTTTGCGAGAGACAATGGGTATGTTCTTTATATGTTGCTGACACTTAAAAAACAAGAAAGTTATTCATTTTATTACTCACTTAAAAGTTATATTATGTTACATAAAATTTGGATTTGTAATTAATATGTAATATATTAATCCGATAGAGAGAAATAACTTATTATCTGTGGTTTCGGTATAAGTGTAAAAATGACAACATTTCATTCGTTAGTCATAGTAGTAAAGAGTAATTTAAAGAGTAAGAGATGTCAATAATCTGGAATGTTCTTTACAGAGGCGGATGTCCACACGGCCACGCCTTCAATTGGCAATGCGGCGGCCACCTGGGCGGGATGGGCGGTGACGGCCGTCACAGCCAAGTTCTATCGCAGCCAAAGTGATTCGTCTCGACCACGACCGCCTTTAACTGGACGCAATCTGTCCAAGCCAGCGTCGCTGGGTGAGTATTCGCCTCGCTTATGCAATTTGCACAATGCAATTAACCTGGCTTGCATTTGCTGTGTAGAGCAACCATCGAGCAGCAGTTTATCGACCACCACAAGTAGTGTTACCTCAATGACGTCGCTGGAGCATGAAAGCAATGACACCTCCGCCTCGGCCTCGGATTATGGCAACAACGATTGGGACAACGAAAACTGGGGCGAAATGGATGTAAGTGTTATTTGAATGTCATTGGAATGACCACTAATTATTCTAATTTTATTTAAGACCTCTCAGGATCCCAGCAGTCCGCTGGCAGCCAGCTCTAATAATGGTGCCATGATGGCAGCCAATGCCTTGAGCGAAGTGCGCGATGGCTGGGACAACGAGGAGTGGGGCAGCCTTGAAGAGGATCCGGTGAGATCTGAGTTTAATGTCATTTTAGCTTGGTTACTAATTGAATTGCTTTGTGCTTAGTGCGAGGAGGAAGAACAGGCAGAGCAGGAGCAGCAGCAACAGCAACTGGCCAGACAATCTATATCATCCACCACGTCGACGTCAGTCCACAGTCAGCATAATCAGCGTCCGCTGCTGCCACATCAGCAGCAACATCCCCATCAACAGCAGCTCCAGCAGCACGAGTTGAATGATCTGATCGAGCCGCTGGCCAAGCTTAACTCACACGTCACCTCGCCGTCAAAGCAGTCGATGCTGCGGCCAAAGGAGCTGCCCAATCTATCCAGCAGCAATACGTCGCCCACGTCGGCCACTGCCAATTGCAATAACATTAGCCCGCCTTCGTCGCATTTGAATAATTCGACGCATAATGCCAATTGGAATAGCGATTCGTGGGCCGACGGGGAGTTTGAGCCACTGGATGAATCGGGACTTGGTAAGTTTGTTTTGTATGCTATAAATATGAAATATTAACTAAAAAAAATTCCATGTGTATTTGCAGGAAATGCCAAACTGGACGAGGCTCGCCGCAAGCGTGAGGAGAAGAAGCTGCAGCGGCAGCGAGAGCTGGAGGCGCGACGTGCCCAGCGGGCGAGCGGTCCCATGAAGCTGGGCGCTAAAAAGCTTTAAAAGTAATCAGCGGATAACAGCGATGCGTGTTATTCGACTGTTATTTTCATCGTACATCTAAGCCCAAAGTGTATTTTGTATATTTCTGTGCGTGTGTGTCTTTGTCCCGCTCCCAATCGTCCCGCTCTGTGTGCTTTGTGTTTTTTGGGAAACAGTTTGCATTAAATGCAATCTCAGTGACTCGAGTCTCCATTTCGATTCCGTAACCTAGCCGTATTGTATTTCTAATGCTGGCACGATATTAGCTAATATATATTCAGCGTCTCTAACGAACTTTCCAATGTAAAGCACTGTAATTAAAACCTGTAATTTATATTTATAATACAAAAAAAAAAAAAAAAAAAAAAGAATGAAGCAAATGACAAACCAACCAACCAGTAGCTAGTAAATTACTTCAAATTTATACTTTTATTAATCGAAACTAGAAAGAGTATCGAAGATAGAATGTCTGACTAACGGAAAGGGTCCTCGAGCGTGAATACCAAACCGCAAGGTTGCAGCGAGTGTGAGAATCGGGGGATAATCGATATCAATGAGTGGATATGAAGTCCTTTTCCTATCCCACTATAAATGAGTGAATGAATGTGAGAATGTATGTGATTTCAAAATTCATTTTAGTCGCCCCTTTCCAAAGCTAAAAACTTGATGAATTCCAAAATAGATTTTCTAGGAGCGCTGAAGGCGAAGGAAAGTAAATATTTAAAAAAAAATCTAAACGTATTTTTGCGAATGGAGCGTAACCAAAATTGTGAATTTTAATACATAAATATAAATAATAACAAATATTTTTATATAGTTCATAATAAAGGGAAACGAATTATATAGAACCAAGAAATAGAAACAAACAGAAATCAAGAACCGCAAGCAATTATAGAAGGAAACAATTTTAAAGCTTTTCAGAGATACATTTAATTGTAGTAGAATTGCACTTGTTATATAGATGTCCTAGGTTGCCATAAATAGGAACGGTCAGGAATAGGTTTTCGTCTCGGTTTTTGTGTTCTTTTCTTTTACCATTTTCCGTTAAAGAGTTTTCGAATTTTACCCAAGTAAGAACAGCACCAAGCGCAAGGCCATTTTTGCATGTCGAACTCGTAGCGTTACACTTTTTGAATGTCCTGTACATACATATAGATACAGATATACATATACCTAACATATATGCCGATTTTTTCCAATACCTCAATATCAGTGTACAATTTTTCCATAATATATTTTTGAAATACAAACGAAACTAATAACCCAAAGCGAATGAAAAATACCAAAATGAAAAATGTTGACTTTTTGAAATCTCATTGTTGTCGCCGCGTCTGTTTGCATTTGGAGCAAACGCCACATATGTATATTTGTAATTAATGCAACTCGATTCCAATCCACGTCAGCCCGATATCCCGCGCTCCCTGCCTCCTCCTCTGCCCCTAGCCCACATTTATTGGCATTCATTTTCTTATAACAAATTCTCTCAGAAAAATTAACATTAGCGTAATGAACTATTTAAAACGAATGAAAAACCATTGAAAATAAAACAAATTGAAGCAAAATGGAAAATTTATTGTTTAGACAAATTTTTAAGACTGCAAAAATATAAAAACCAAAATTAATTGAAAGTGGTAATGGTAAATTACAAGAAAACTAAATTATTTAGTACTAATCATCAGTAAAATAAATTTTGAAATAATAACAAAAAAAAACTTTTAATTTTTCTCCTTACGGGTAAGTCAATTTTAAATCTTTTTAAGCGGCCAATAAAAGCTCATCGTCTTAAATGGATATCCCGACAAGCTTTTTGCCCACATCTGGTCGGGCAGATATATATTTATATATATATTTGGTTAATGGCATCTGTTTTGGCAAATGTTTCCGATGGCCATTCGATAATTGCAACAATCCAAACCCAAGCCTTTGTTTACTTTCCGTTGGAGTTTGTGCAGCTGTTTTGGCCAGTTTCGCGAGGATAGTTAAGATGGGTAAATGCAGATATCGGGGAAAACCCAACAGAGCTTGCTAGACAAAAGGAGAATATGTTCAACTTTACATTGAATCGGTTTCAAGTTTACTAAAAAATGCTTAAAAATAACTTCATACAGGGAATCACTTTGAAATGGAACAAATAGCTTACAAATTTAGCTAAAAGTGGGTTGACTTTTAAATTTAGTACTTTAGTTGGAATATCTCATATACAAATTCGTATTATTTTTTTGGTTTGTTTCAATTTGAGTTCTAATTTTCATACAGAAATCTGAAATATGTGTATGATTTCATAGCATACTTATTTGAGCCGAAGAAAACACAATTCGATCTGGCTCGTTAAACACTCCGCCCACTGCACTAATTAAAATGAGTCAATCTGCCCAGATTAGTGCTCCTCGGTAATCCCCAATGTCACGTCACGTTTTGCGAACTATTTTTAAGATCTGCGACCGCACAACTTTGTTTTTCTCACGCGCCCGTTTCGCAGCTAATTTGTTGCAACTTGCAACTTGCAATGGGTCTCCACAAAAGAGGGGCGCTGCATAGAGGGGTTGGCTGTTCAAAACTCAAAACAAAACAGAAACATGTTTATACATTTTCTGGGAAGTTTAACGTGTACTTTACTTCTATAGATATGTATTTAAGTAACCCTTTGAGAACGGAAAGTTCGTTTAGTTTCCATTTAATTTCAAGTTCACCTTAAGTATATATTTTTTAAATTATTATATATTTGTGGAAGATATCCCCCTTTTGCACCGTCCTTGTTGGAACCGATGCTGCCGCCCAGTTGTCCGCCTCCCTCTCAGATGCCAAATCTGTTGACGAAGTTGCCCTTGCCGTGAATAATTGGCTCGCCCAGTGCCACGAATGCTCCGGATAGCAGTGCCTAAAATAAGTGACGCCAAGTGGGGGTGGAGGTTGTGGAGAACGAAGCGGAGGCTACTAAAGACGCGAATCGCTATTAATAGGCTCTGAAGTCAGATGGAAATGGAAATGGAGATGGAGACCTAGACCCTGTAGGCACTGCACCACAGTGGCATTACTCATACGCCCTGCCTGCTGCCTCTCGCGTGTCTAATTGTGCTGAAATTGAGGCGAACAGCCGCGATTACCGCCGCTGCACGGGTGTGGGTAATTAAATAGTCGTCGTGATAAAGTTGAGCAAATATTGAGATCATTATGGTAATTCCGGCTGCTGCCCTGCAACCATCCAGCCTTTCAGCATCTTTGGCATTCATTTTGCGCTCATTAAACTCGCGGCACACTATTTATTATTATTTATTATTACCTGTGCCCGCCGAGATGCTCGGATTTGTCACCGAGATATCGAAGCCATGCGATTTGGCACGCAGGTGTGCGGCGGCCACAAACAACTCTATACGAAATTCACATAATTTCCTCGCTTAGAGCGGGCGCAAAATGCATTAAACGCTCTTACTATTGCCATTGTCGATGCAGTTTGTTTTTGCTACCCAGTGATGGTAAGTGTAAGGGGTATATTGAGTATATCATAATTACTTGAAAAGTACTATTACTTAAGTAAGCTATGGAGGAGAGCTTCGTACACTAAGTTATAAGGCTTAAAGATGAAATGCAAACTTAACTGAATGGCAACCTCGGTTACAACCTTCAGACTTCTTGATAATTCCACACAGAATATTGTCTAGGGTGTTACCAATTCGAGGTATGCCTTTAGCACTCGCAAGTATTTCTTATTTCGCGACTTTGACTTCGCGCATTCAATTCAATCAAAGCGCAACGCTCCACTCGACTCGCCTGTGGCTTTGTTTTCGGCACCTTTTGTTGTTGCGCTGCTGCAGTCGTTGCAAAAATTGTTTAAAATTTCAAATTAGCTGCAGTTTGCATTGGCTGATGTTTCTGCATTTGTTGTGTTGTGTTTTGTTTTTCTAGGAGCGGTCTCTTTAGCATTTTACACAGCCCCTGCATTCTGGAACGACTTCCCAGCTGCCACCCACTGTGGGTGATGGCATTAGTGTGTATTTCACAATTTGCCAGTGAGTAAAATACTCTTAACCTTGCAGGCTCTTGCTTATGATCGCATTATCAACGGGCAAATATACAAAGTAATAAATAATTCAAGACAAATATTAGTTTCTGTCTCATGAGGATCATATTAACCAGCTTACCTTAGATCAGTTAACTCTCACCTTTAATAATCTCTTGCTTACACTAAAAACAGATACTATTGTTGTCTCATGATAATCTTCACTTAATCCCATCTCAGGCAAATATACTTTAAGGAAATTTACAATTTGTTCGTAGAAATAGAAAAAGCCAACGTCTAAACTATAATCAGAATCAAAGCGGATCACTTTCAGATGTCATGAGATGTCACGTGAAAAAGGTTCTTGGCAGTTACTAATGTAAAGATAATATGAATTCCTTCCTGTTTAAATATAACTTAACGAAACGCGGCAGATTAAGAACTTGGTTTATGTATTTAAGAATTTAAATAATATTTAACCAGTTATCAGTCACACTCAGTTAAAAATTATATTTACTTTTTGACTTTAACATATTGTTAGAAGCTGTTTATATCTTGAAACTCTTGAGTTGAGTATTCGTTATCCACAAGTTCTCGCCTCGACCGCGAGTGAAAAGTGAAAACCCAAGAATGATTCATAGGGGATTTCCCGGCATTAACCCCGAATAAGGCCACGCTTGAACGTGAGCACATATTTACGCATTTTGAGCAAGTTTCCGTTTTGTACAAATACGAGCAAACAGGCAAATAATTATTGCGATGAACAAATATTGGCCCGTGTAAATGGACAAGCCCCCAAGGCAAACAAAGAGCGATGGGCCATTGGATAAAGTGGGTCTTCCATAGAAAGGAAAACCGCAGGCACAACCACGATAACGCGCTGGATATAGCTTGTGGCCTGACTATATAGTCGTGGTCCGGTCTGCTTCGGTCCGACTTGAGGTTTTTGGTGCGTGCCCGGCTTGATAATTCCGCTGGAGACTCCAGACCGCAGACAAGACGATACGGATGAATCACCCGTCGCCAGTACAGCGACCCGTGGCCACCAGAAGCCCAAGTGTTCCACAAGTTCGGCACGAGCGCCACGGAGATCAGTGATGGCGGTTTGGTCATAAAAAAGTCGAGCTTTGTAATCCTTTTAATGTAGTTTTTTATTTTACAGCTGTTATTTTAGCATTTCGTATGTTAAGTTTAATGATAAAAGAAAGTTTCTATTTCATTTTTAAAACTTACAACATATTTTCTAGTGTAATTTTGTATGAACATTCTTAAAACATGAACAGCTTTTTCTCAATAAGTTTTATCACATATTTAGTTAATTTACTTATAAAACTATTTAAATGCTTGGC